CCCTCGGCAAGCCTCGGGAAATATCGAAACTTTCGCTAACTCGGCAAGCCTCGTGGGCGAAAGTTTTGATATCGCATGAGAAGGCATGTGATAAATGTATATTATCACACTTTCGAGCCAAATTTGGCAGGAAAGCAGAATTGATATTACATGCCCCGATGGGGAGCATTGGCTCTCACCCGGGGGCATGAAATATCAATCAGTTGCTCAGAGAGAGCCCGATATTCCCATAGGAACAAGGAGCCCACTCTCAACAACTGTTCTACTACTGTGAGGTACTGATTTAAATAAAGATTTAAATCAACAACCCGAAGTAGTCTATGACCGTTAATGCAATGATCAGATGAACTTTCCAGGATAAGGAAAAATTTATATTTATAACTGGTTTTGAAAATATTTCCTTGTGTTTGAGATGCGTCAAGCAAAATAAAATTTTTTGTTGTAAAACTTTTTCAAGCTGTTCCCTTTTTATTGCACTTTATAGTTCAAAGCTTAATTAGGCTTCGGATGATGAAACAAAGTAAAAACTCCCTGGCTTGTACGAGCTTTAAGTGACTTAAGGTTATTGAAAACGAGATCAAAGTTTACAAGCAGACTTGAAAGTTTAACAAAGTTTTGGTACTTGTCAGCGATACAATCAATCAGGATAATTAATTTCCTTAATCGCTTACTTGAAATTAATAAGGAAGTGTCAGAACAAACTACAGTCACCCTCACAAAAAATAGTAAACACTAGACGATGTTTGATTAATTCGAACGAAGAAAACACACAAAACAAAGCCAGATTTCAGCCATTTCAGACCTCAATTTTAACCCCCTCTGATCCCTTCTTTGAGCCATATTCCATATAGAAATTGTGCAGAAATTATGCTTGGCTTTTCCAAACCGGTTTCGCCTAGATTAGCTTGCGAAATTCGTGGCTGATCTATAAACAGACTGATAAAGAGACTTATATGTAGATTCTGTACAATAAAGAGCGGAAATTCTATCCCAGGACTAGTTTTAACTGAATTTTAGTTAGTGCAAATAAGTGCAATAAAAACATCCTATAAAATATATTATTTATATAAATATATCAAGGGACGAATGACGTAACTTAATCAGCTAATCTGGTTATAAATTAGTCTGGGCACTGGGGCAAACAGGTCCGATGATTAATGTGCTGCCATTCATTAGACCAATTCAATATTGGTAACAGTACGGGTGAACTACCTGGCCATGACCAGGGTGGTTATAGGCTGGTGGAGTACTGCGTTCTAAAATGTTGAAGAGATACATTTGAATATTACAAATGTTCTGATAATTTCCAGTTCAGATAATTTCTAGCTCGAAGCAGATAATGGCAAATAATGGCAAGTAAAGATGAATACTGACTAAGAACTAAGCAGAATACTTGATAAAATTCTAAGTCAACGATTACAAGTTGCATTGATTAAATCATTCTGAAATAACAGACAATCAAGAATCAAGACGGACGATAATATTGTTGATGTAAATTAGGGAGTGTAGTGTATAATGTGGACTGATAAATAGACACTAATTATGACCCCACAGCTCTATTCAAATACAAGAACTAGGAAATTCTTTCACCTCATCGTAGATACAGATTATACGATAAGAACTGTGATGTATAATCAACACTTAAACGGATGTTCTATACATTATACTGCATCTACAGTTTTAATGACTCTAAAAATATCTAATAGAAATAAAGTATTAGAATCACCTCACATCAATTGATTTGCATGATGTAATTACGTATCAAACGCGCTCGCGGCGGAATATTCTAGACTCATAAGTACAAGACCCATAGGCGGAAAACACATTAATATTGCATGCACTAGGTATCAGTACAAAGCAAATTCAGCGCGGCACACAGCATTCACTGCGTCATAAATGTGAAACGCGAGATTCTAATTTCACGTATTGTATCTTTAATATCTGAAATACTAACTTATCGAGAGCTATATATAGCTTGGACATTATAAACATAAATAAGTTCGACATGTCCAGTTTTGCTTTGGTGAGATTTATAACTAACGTTTGATCAAATTCTGCTTTCCAGGCCAAATTTGGCTCCAAATAATGGCAAATAATGGCAAGTAAAGATGTATACTGACTAAGATCTAAGCAGAATACTTGATAAAATTCTAAGTCAACGATTACAAGTTGCATTGATTAAATCATTCTGAAATAACAGACAATCAAGAATCAAGACGGACGATAATATTGTTGGTGTAAATTAGGGTGTGCAGTGTATAATGTGGACTTATGAATAGACAATCATGGCGCCACAGCCCAATTCAAATATAACAACCAGGAAATACTATCACCTTATCGCAGATTAGTATTACATGATAAGGACTAGGATGTAATCAACACTAAAACAGATGTTCTATACATTATACATCTTCAGTTTTAATGACTCAAAATATATCTAATAGAAATAAAGTATAAGAATCACCTCACATTGATTGATATCTAGGATATAATTTATGATTCAAAGACGCGCTTGTGGTGGAATATTCTAGACTGCAATAAGTACGAGACCCATAGGCGTGAATATATTTAATATTACATGCACTACGTATCAGTATAAGAAAGCAAATTGGGCGCGTCGTACAGCATTCACTGTGTCATAAATGTGAAAACGTGAGATCCTAATTTTACGTATTGTATCTTCGATATCTGAAATACTAACTCATCGAGAGCTATACATATAGCTTGGACATTATAAACGTTCGACATGTCTAGTTTTGCTTTGGTGAGATTTATAACTAACGTTTGATCAAATTCTGCTTTCCCGGCCAAATTTGGCTCCAAAGAAAGTGTGATAAAACATTAATCACATGCCTTCTCATGCGATATCAACATTTTCAAAACTCGGCAAGCCTCGTGATTGAAAATGTCGATATAACCCTCGGCAAGCCTCGGGAAATATCGAAACTTTCGCTAACTCGGCAAGCCTCGTGGGCGAAAGTTTTGATATCGCATGAGAAGGCATGTGATAAATGTATAATACTAATCTGCGATAAGGTGATAGTATTTCCTGGTTGTTATATTTGAATTGGGCTGTGGCGCCATGATTGTCTATTCATAAGTCCACATTATACACTGCACACCCTAATTTACACCAACAATATTATCGTCCGTCTTGATTCTTGATTGTCTGTTCTTTCAGAATGATTTAATCAATGCAACTTGTAATCGTTGACTTAGAATTTTATCAAGTATTCTGCTTAGATCTTAGTCAGTATACATCTTTACTTGCCATTATTTGCCATTATTTGGAGCCAAATTTGGCCTGGAAAGCAGAATTTGATCAAACGTTAGTTATAAATCTCACCAAAGCAAAACTGGACATGTCGAACTTATTTATGTTTATAATGTCCAAGCTATATATATAGCTCTCGATAAGTTAGTATTTCAGATATTAAAGATACAATACGTGAAATTAGAATCTCGCGTTTCACATTTATGACGCAGTGAATGCTGTGTGCCGCGCTGAATTTGCTTTGTACTGATACCTAGTGCATGCAATATTAATGTGTTTTCCGCCTATGGGTCTTGTACTTATGAGTCTAGAATATTCCGCCGCGAGCGCGTTTGATACGTAATTACATCATGCAAATCAATTGATGTGAGGTGATTCTAATACTTTATTTCTATTAGATATTTTTAGAGTCATTAAAACTGTAGATGCAGTATAATGTATAGAACATCCGTTTAAGTGTTGATTATACATCACAGTTCTTATCGTATAATCTGTATCTACGATGAGGTGAAAGAATTTCCTAGTTCTTGTATTTGAATAGAGCTGTGGGGTCATAATTAGTGTCTATTTATCAGTCCGCATTATACACTACACTCCCTAATTTACATCAACAATATTATCGTCCGTCTTGATTCTTGATTGTCTGTTATTTCAGAATGATTTAATCAATGCAACTTGTAATCGTTGACTTAGAATTTTATCAAGTATTCTGCTTAGTTCTTAGTCAGTATTCATCTTTACTTGCCATTATTTGCCATTATCTGCTTCGAGCTAGAAATTATCTGAACTGGAAATTATCAGAACATTTGTAATATTCAAATGTATCTCTTCAACATTTTAGAACGCAGTACTCCACCAGCCTATAACCACCCTGGTCATGGCCAGGTAGTTCACCCGTACTGTTACCAATATTGAATTGGTCTAATGAATGGCAGCACATTAATCATCGGACCTGTTTGCCCCAGTGCCCAGACTAATTTATAACCAGATTAGCTGATTAAGTTACGTCATTCGTCCCTTGATATATTTATATAAATAATATATTTTATAGGATGTTTTTATTGCACTTATTTGCACTAACTAAAATTCTATTTTTTGTGAGGGTGACTGTAGTTTGTTCTGACACTTCCTTTTTAATTTCAAGTAAGCGATTAAGGAAATTAATTATCCTGATTGATTGTATCGCTGACAAGTACCAAAACTTTGTTAAACTTTCAAGTCTGCTTGTAAACTTTGATCTCGTTTTCAATAACCTTAAGTCACTTAAAGCTCGTACAAGCCAGGGAGTTTTTACTTTGTTTCATCATCCGAAGCCTAATTAAGCTTTGAACTATAAAGTGCAATAAAAAGGGAACAGCTTGAAAAAGTTTTACAACAAAAAATTTTATTTTGCTTGACGCATCTCAAACACAAGGAAATATTTTCAAAACCAGTTATAAATATAAATTTTTCCTTATCCTGGAAAGTTCATCTGATCATTGCATTAACGGTCATAGACTACTTCGGGTTGTTGATTTAAATCTTTATTTAAATCAGTACCTCACAGTAGTAGAACAGTTGTTGAGAGTGGGCTCCTTGTTCCTATGGGAATATCGGGCTCTCTCTGAGCAACTGATTGATATTTCATGCCCCCGGGTGAGAGCCAGTGCTCCCCATCGGGGCATGTAATATCAATTCTGCTTTCCTGCCAAATTTGGCTCGAAAGTGTGATAATATCTTTTATCAGGAAGCGTATCAGCAGATAAAGAAAAAAATACCCACCTACACCTCTATATGCGGATGATACGATTCAGTCATGGTAATTAGTGATTACAAATGTGTCAGACACAACACCTAAGGACAGAGCCATAATGATGAATGAGAGAGTTCTTCTTACACCTTTCCAAAGGCAATTAAAGTCTATAAAAATTTGTATAAATTATGTGTCTTTGTGTACAATGTAGGTCTGGTAGCCAGGAAAACAAACTGATGAATTGTTATAATACTCGATATTTCGAACCCTTTTTGTATACAAATGTTACTTTTGCAATCGGCATATATTCGCCTAATTTTTTAATCTATATTTCAATAACAAATAAAAGTGCGCTCAGCCTGTCATTCCGCCGAATCTCTATTTTATGTTTATGAACATTATAGCCTGGGGTCACCAGGTAAAATAAAAGCTAAATTTTCACCGATTAGTCTCTATCAACCGCATGAAATACTACATACTAGTACTTTTTCATTGCTTCGTTCACAAAATGATGGAATCATTTTAATGAAAAATGATGTGCATCCGCGCAGGCGGTACCTGACGCGCACGTCAATCCCTAGTGTGCGCGGCGCTCTTTTCAAGCTTCTGAACCACATACGCTATAAGAGTTGACGGATGTTACTCGTCTAAATTTCTTCGAAGTAGCGCGCGCCGCTTTCTTCTCGAAATGTTTGGCCCGACGGCACGAACTACGAAGTAGCGCGCGCCGGGCCAGATCATTAACAATGGTCAACCATAAGAGAAGCGCGAGGAATAGACTAGCAAGCTAGTAGGGAGCCAGGCTGTAGGTTTATAACGTACCAAGACGCGTACTTTCGAGTGACGACGGTCTTAACGGGTGATACTCGTCGACGAGTCAAACTCGGCGCGCGTCCTGGTACAGTAGGTTGTAAACCTACAACGACGGTTTTAATATTTGGAACAAATATTTTATTTAGAGTATCACCCGTTAAATGTTAAAAGCGCGATTTTACAATTTAACTCAGCGCGCGGCTCTTGCATGTAGCGTATACGTCACTTCTTTTCAATTGGTAGTTAGCGTGCTTAATTGACGATGTCAATTCATGGCAGCTCGGCGCGGCACAGTAGCGCATCTCGCCGATCTAGCCAGAGAAGCCTTATTAAGTGCGCGGCGCGGCACAGTAACGCAACGCGCTACAATTAGCGTGCATGCCACGCGTGATTTGTTTCAAGGCTGTAGCTGTATTCTGCAATTGATTAAAAACGATCATGTGAATGCTGGTCACGCGCGCACTAACTTCCAATGACCATCAACACGTTTTTTTTCAGTGCGGTAAGCAATAAGGGCAGCTTATTTTGAATAATATGTAGTAGACCTGCCACTGCGCGGCTGTATCATGGCTAGTTTCGCCACTGATGACACTTAAACGGGTGATACTCGTAAAATATCTGTTCCGTATATTGGACCGTCGACGAGTCCAACTCGGCGAGCGTCCTGGTAGGTTGTAAACCTACAAATGATACTTAGTACTGATCAAACGACAATTAAATGGTGAATGGGGGTCACAACGACACGACTTACTGGGCCGCGCTCAGCCTGTCATTCCGCCGAATCTCTATTTTATGTTTATGAACATGATAGGCTAGCCTGAGGTCCCCAGGTAATGACACGACGTGATGCAATGGAAGCCGTAATTCACTCTGCATCTGCCCGAATAAAAATTTGGCGGAATGACTGCGGCAGACGGAATGCAAATGTTAAGCTGAGCGCAGCCCATACCAGGAAGAGAGCAATAAGTTTTTAGTTAATAGTTTTATAACAAGTTTAAAAAAAGATTATTTCTATATCTGATATCAGGTTGGTACAATATAAGCTTTTAAACATTACATCACCCCTTAATTTGCCTTTGCTATTTATTGTGGAATGCAGTTATGCCGCGCCGTAATGTAGCCCTGCGCGGCGCGCCCAGTGCTGTTTTGGTTTGTATTACGTGGTGACCCCCACTGTCGTTTCGCTTCACTATAGTACAGTAGAGTTTCTACGATACAGGGGGAGCCGCGCACTCGTGCGCTGCGGGTCATGCAACGTATGATAAGTTTTGGTTTAATCGTAGGTGTTTAATTGGTAATAATCTATTAAAACTGAAAACGCGCGCGGGCCAATATTTGGAACACATTTTGTTCGAGTGTCATCCGTTAATGGTTTAACAATTGCAAATTGATCTATCCAGAGCCCTTGCGCTAGCAGTAGCGCGCGCCCGCCTGACTTGTGAAACAAGCGCGCCCGCAGTGGCGCGAAAGCACATGGTTAGGTGAAGTTTAATAACAATAATTTAGTTGTTTCATTGCATTTTAAATATTTGAGATTCGACAAATTTTATTTTATTGTCTTAAAGGGCAGTACTGCAGTTTTAAAAGTTATTTTAATGCTTCCTTTTTAAACAAAAATATATATCTTATGTCATTTATACCAACATTTTTAACTTGGGTTTTTTTTGTAAAATTTTATATTTAGTCAATTACTCATTTAGCCAAATGGTTACTATATTTATTAAAATGTTATTGCTGGGAAATTGCTGGTTATTGCTAAATGTATCTAATATAACCAATATTATTTGCAAATAAGTTGACTCAGTGAAACAAAAATTAGAAAAACAATGATTAAACAAAATTCTTTATTTACAAAATAATTTCGTATCAAAAAATATTAAGAGCCATGCATTGCATTGGTAGTTGGTCCCTGATATCAGATATAATGATTTGTAAATGGTAGTGCATGGCTTTATTATATTGAGCAATGAGCATAACACTAATATGAAAACATTATTGCACCAAAAAATAGCCTTGCCCACACCTAGCACGTATTTTTAACGTGCATTTCATGGAAAATCTTGAAACTTACCTGGCCTTTATATTAACAGGGTATTTTGTCTGTGACAAGAAGATATACATGCTGACCTTACAATATCCACAGAGTTTGTTTAAAGAGTTTCTTCTACAACTGGCAAGTTTGCTGGCATGACACTTTGGTGATTTTCAATTTCCACTGCACTTGCAGATCTTGCATTGGATGTACTCGTTGGATTTGTGCTTGAATGGCTTTTGGCAACCTTTTCGTACCGGCAGATGAAGCAGCATATGGTCAGAAGAAGATTCTTCACATATTCTCCAAAACGTTTGTTTGTCAGTGTATAAAGAATCGGGTTTGCAAAGGCGTTTATGTAGATGCAATGGAAAGATAGGAGTTCTACAGCTCGAGGGATGTCAGGGTTCGTGCTTACCATGAAGCTGTAGATGACATAAGGAACCCAGCTGAGGATAAATATTCCAGAAAGTGCACAGACCATGACCAATGCTTTGTAATTGGGCTTAGAGTTCTCCTGCATTCTTGAACTCTTCACTGCAATGGCACAAAGGATGATGTTTTCTACTGTTATAACTAACAGAGGAATCATAATAATTACTCCTATTGCAATCTTGAAGATTGCCTCTGCTTCCTTAATCACATAAATTTCAGATGTACACTTTCCATTTTTTGGATTGAAGGTGGAAGATGACTTGTAAGACAAGGAGATGATAGTACCAGCTGATGCAAGGACCCATGTTATGGCTACTGCAATTCTTGCCTCGTTTTTGGAAGTACTAGAGAAAGGATGTGTTACCAGCCAGAGCCTATAACTGGTGATGAGCAAGACAGTAAGAGCATTAGCAGAGCCAGGTATGAAGCTGATCTGTGCAGAAATGAAGCAGTAAACGTTTCCAAGAACCCACTGTCCAGCAACATAAGTTATAAGCTGGGGAAGAATGACACACAGGGTATAGATAATGTCAGCAACAGCCAGGTTCTGGACTAGTATGAGTGAAACTCTATCCAGTCTTATTGCATTGTATCTTACAGATGAGTAAAGGACTGTCCCGTTTCCTAGCAACCCAAAGAGTGTCATGATGAAGCAGAATATGGCAAGGAAGACGATTTGAGCCAGTGTGAAATTGACCAGTCTCAATTTTGTACCTTCACTAGCTACGCCAATGAGGGTAGTATCAGTAACAATTGGTGAGTCCATTTTCTGCTTAGATCAGTGCTAGATACTGAAAGGTTCATGAATTAACAAATACAAATTACAAATGAGATGTTTATTAGTTGCTACCAATCAAGTAATGGCCATTGAGAATTGCTCCTTGATCAAGCTCAAGGAAAATTTCCTTTGCTTTTACAATGAATAATACAGTATTTTGTTAAATTGATTTATAATTTATAATTTTTGATACCTTACAAACTTATGGCCTATATCGAACAAAGAGTACTGCGAAGCAACCAAGTACATCTACCCTAAGTGCATTGTATAAACGACTTTATAGTATTAGTTTCTGTTCTCAAGAAGCCTCATTGATTCTGAGGAACAATCTACTTCGGTTTATTGTACAGTACAAAAGTTCATTCCTTGAATTCCACTGTAGCGCACACCAATAAAGATATTGAGATCACCATGTCGGCCCATCTTGTTTTAGTTCTTAAGAAGTCTCATAAATTCTGAGGAACAATCTACTTCGGGTTATTGTACAGTACAAAAGTTCATTCCTTGAATTCCAGGACAGTCCACACCGATAATCAATATAGATATTGAGTATACCCGGTATCAGCTCATCACAGCTACAATGCATCATGACAAAAACGATCAGATAAGATAAGGGTTAAAATATCAAATAAGTGCGCAAGGCTAGTAGAATTTATGAAATTATCAGAGGCTGATACAGGATACTTATAGTTCAATTCAACATATTATAGTCAAAAGAATATTTGACAACAAATGTTATGGTCAAAACAAGAACTCTGCTAGCATAACTGCAGAAAACTGATATGTATGCGATTTGACTAGTGGTTTGGTAAATGAAGGTATTTCTCTTTATAGATGAAATTTGTTAATCCAGAGAGATGCCCGACTTGATTGATGCTTTATTGTTAATCAACTAGCCAGTAGCCAAAAACCATAATTTAATTCATTTTATGTGTATTTAGTCTTTACAACAGAGCAGAAGATGCTTGCTGATTTAACCACTTTTCACATTTCAAACTTGTTCTATATAATACTGCAATGATGTCGTAATATAGTCTTCTACCAGCTGGCTGGGTTAGCTCTGCCTAGGTTTGGAAGATTTCTACTAACCTCGACAATGTTACTCTCTCACTGTTAAGCGTTGTGGTACAGAAGGTTCGAATACTTGCTCCCCAGGCCTTGGTTCTGTTGTAGATCTAGCATTGGTACTGCTCGTTGGATTCACTCCTGGCAGATCTTTAGGAGACATCTTCACTCCACATAGACAAGGGAACATGTTGTAAAGAAGACTGCTGACATAAAGTCCAAACCTCTTGTTGGTCAATGTGTAGAGGATAGGGTTGCCAAAGGAATTTATGTAGATGCAGTGGAAAGCCAGTAAGTCCAGTGCCTGGGGAATGTCAGTATTCTTGCTTTTTATCAAAGTGAATATTATGTAAGGAACCCAACTGATGATGAAGAGTCCAGAAAGTGCACAGACCATCAACAAAGCTTTGTAGTTTGCCTTTGAATTCTCGTGCCTTCTGGAGCTTTTTACTGCAATGACACAGAGAATAATATTCTCGACTGTAATCACTAGCAGAGGAATCATAACAATCACTGCAAGTGCAATCTTAAGTAATGCCTGAGCAGCCAAATTCTCGTAGACTCCTGACATACATTTCCCATTTTGTGGATTGAAGGTGGAAGATGACTTGTAAGACAGGGATATGATAGTACCAGCTGATGCAAGGACCCATGTTATGGCTACTGCAATTCTTGCCTCGTTTTTGGAAGTACTAGAGAAAGGATGTGTTACCAACCAGAGCCTATAACTGGTGATGAGCAAGACAGTGAGAGCATTAGCAGAGCCTGGTATGAAGCTGATCTGTGCAGAAATGAAGCAGTAAACGTTTCCAAGAACCCACTGTCCAGCAACATAAGTTATAAGCTGGGGAAGAATGACACACAGGGTATAGATAATGTCAGCAACAGCCAGGTTCTGGACTAGTATGAGTGAAACTCTATCCAGTCTTATTGCATTGTATCTTACAGATGAGTAAAGGACTGTCCCGTTTCCTAGAAACCCGAAGAATGTCACGATGAAACAGAATACAGTGAGGGGCACTAGCTGAGCTATTGAAAATGGAAGTGTCTGCGAGGAAGCATCTGCTGCTTCAGTTTCATTGAGGGAAGCTTCCATGTCCTGTGAAAGGATTATGATTGTTGTTAATATAATATATTATAACTGTTGATCAGATTCTCTGTTAAAAATGATATAAATATTTATAACTAATTAGTACAGTATTTATAATAATAAGGATAATAATATTTTGCCATCAGGGCAAAGAAAACGAGAGCATCTTGGAAAACGAATTATAATTATAGCACACAATTACATGATCTGAATATTCTATTAAAAATGACAGCTGTTCAAAATTATCATCCATAAAATGGACACACAACTGGATACAATTAATTTATTTAATATAGCATATTATAATAAGACTAGGAAGCCCGTGGTCACAGAGACGAAGCTAATAGTATTCTTTGGTAGTCAGTTTTTATAGCATCAACAAATATCCGTCACAACCGAAGATACAGCCGATTAAAAGAATTTTCTGAATAATAATAGAGGTAATAAACCTATATTTTTGCCATTGCTATGGTAATTTTACCTATGTATGGGACCACCTATGCAATAGTGATGGAAAAATTAGGAAGGATTATGATCTATAGGGTCGCTAGTGTCACAAAAGAAAGTTTCCATCTCAATTTATCTCGGAAAAATCAGTAGAGCATAATTTACTGAACGTATCGATAGGTTGCATTCGATTTGCACCATGTATAGTGTATACATGTAGTACATACTGTAGCACTTATATTATTGTGAAAAGTACAAATAAAACTTTTATTTGTTACATTAAAGCGGAACTAAACACAGATTACTGAGAACACCTTTCAACATATTGACACAGTGTGTTCATAAAAATAAAACATTCGAGTTTTGTGTCCTTCCTGTCATCTCATGGAAATGATGATAACTTTATGAGCTTGCTGGCGCACTTTGTCTGGTGGACTTTGTCGTATCCATTGCTGAACTTCTGGCTGACTCCGGCTGTTCTCTCTTGTTACTGCATATCATGCTCAGAAGAACACCTTTTACATACGCTCCAAACCTCCTGTTCGTCATAGTGTAGAGGATGGGGTTTCCGAATGAGTTGAGGAAGATACAATGGAATGCCAGGAGATCTAATGCCGGAGGGACGGAGGGACTCTTCATCTTCAGGAAAGTGAAAATGACGTAAGGGGTCCAGCTAACGATAAATAGACCGGATAGGGAGCAAACCATTATGAGGGCTCTATAATTAGCCCGTTCTTCTACCCTCCTATTGGAATGGCTAATGGCAATGCAGGATAGAATTATGTTGAAAACGGTGATAGCAAAAAGAGGTAAGAGTACGATTAACCCTACACACATCATGACAGGTATCCTTGCCAAATCATTGTCGTAGATGTCTGCCAAGCATCTTCCATTTTCTTCGTGAAACTCTGATTTTGATCGGTAAGCAAGGAAGATATTGGCCGGAATCACAGCTATTGTCCAAATGACAATAATGCTAAGTTTGGCTAACTTTGGTGATGTTTGAGCAAATGGATTCATGAGGACTTTTAACCGGTAGCCAGTAATGGCCAGCACAGTGATGCTGTTGGCAGAAACAGGGACTATCCCTACTTGCGCCATCACGATGCAATATGCCTTTCCTAGAACCCATTTACCCGCAATATAGGTAATGAGTTGGGGCAGGATAACACAAATGGTGTACAGCATATCAGCAACAGCCAAGTTCTGGACAAATATCAAAGATACTCTATCCAGTCTTATTGCATTGTATCTTATCGAGGAGTAAAGGACTGTCCCGTTTCCTAGCAACCCGAAGAATGTCATGATGAAGCAAAAGGTACCCAGAGAAGCAACTTGAAGTGGTGAAAACACTAGATCCATCCCCGTCATCAATCCACTCGTATTCGTCATAATTCAACTTTCTTAACTTGGAATAATCGGGGCTTTAACTATTAGATCACAATGGTTGGGTTTGTTCATTGCTTCAAATAAAGATTTCCAACTACTAAATTGATACTTGAAAATATATTAAGAGCAGTTGTGTAAAAACATATTATCATGGAGCCCAGCCCCTGGTAAGAGTTATAGCAACTCCAGACCCAGTGTCCAGAGTACAGTCTAAGATAAACTTGTGTAAAATACATATCCTTGATTAAATCTACAGACGAGAGAAAATCCAGATTTTGGCTTAATATAACGATTAATTCCAACTTCCAAGTATCCTTATTCCAAGGGGTTATATAAAATGCAAAACTCTATTTTATAAATTGTAACTGAAACCAAGTCGACAGACAATCAATTCTTCTGTTGATTTCCATAAATGGAGCATACATGATCACAATATCAAGTCTAGACTCATCGCGATCATACGACAAATTATGTGAATAATCGAAGGTTGCAAGATTTAAAATGAGTATCAAATCAAATCACAGCACGGCTGATAACTTTTATTACTATCCCGGATTAATTTCGGCAAATGTACATATTAATCTAAAGGAGTAAAAAGCAAAGACGTTCATAAGTCTAGCGGTTGTGACTTGTGTTTCGACTTTCGACTTTCGAGTATGGTGGGGCGTGGGCAGCAGTAAAGCTGTAAGTCACACAATGACTGTGTTGAATTTCATTAGTACTGCTAATATTATCACACGATCATCTTGGCTCAATTCTAAGAATGAGTATTCATCCAAGCTGCTTCACAACTGTATTACCAGCTGTTCAACAATTAATTAACAAAGTGTTTAAACTATAAAGTCCTAGCGAGAAAAATAAAAAGATAAAATTGTCGGGTTGAATTTAATACAAAGCTTAGATGAAATCGAACTGTGTGTGCAAAAGTTCCTTCACTTTATAAAATACACGGTTGACAGCTAACTGGTTTAATAATGCAATATCATATTTCATTATGTGCCGTTTGGTATGCTCTGTGTCCTGTGGTCAATTGTATGTTTTTATGGTGCCTGAGATGGATTAAAAGAGATGTTCGCGTAATTAATGGTCAAAGTCCGCAAAAATTTTATTTGCAATTTTGTTAACAAAATGCCGACGACCTCTACTCACTAATCTGAGATCCATTCATGTACATACATATCTCGGCCGCCCCACAGATGTTCACAAAAGTAACTTTAGATGAGGTGTAAATAAATTTACCACATAGCGTTCAGCGTGACAACAAACCGCTCCAATCTCTGCTGAATTATTAGCATACATTATACCCACCACTACACCTGGTACAGAAAAAACGTACGTCTTAACTAAACGTTTTTTAAACTGGTAATAAAATTTATCTAGCTGAAATAAACCAGGCTTCTCAGCAATTTAAATGCCATGCAGAAAGATAGCCACGCTGTGTAGAAATGAGTCAAACTTAATTACTTTTTTAGTCAGATAGAAATGGTCAGGTAACAATATTAAGCAGTGAGTATTGCACTGAATAGTAAAAGCTGAAGGGTAAAACATACATGAATGTCGAAAGTTAGCATGGGATCTAAAATCGCTCAACTCTAAATCAGAATATTAACCATACGTACCGTATTATATGATAAAGGAGTATTTTCTAGCTTGTTCTTTAGAATCTTAGGACAGGCCTCTTTTGAACAGATCATGGGACACGCTTTATTTCTGTATAAAATTGCAATTCTGTAGACCAATGTCAAGTGATCCAGCGGATTCCTTACAAAGGTTGTACAATACAATATAGCCGGTACAAGGTGAACCTACCAACTCACGAATTGAGTAGAACAACCTCACCAGGTACTGGTAGGCACTATGCTACAGAAACGGTAAATCCTTGACTCTCGCTTTTCATCCGGCTTGTGGGATACAAAAACGTTACCTGTTACCCGGAACTCGCAACTTTGCATAAATTTCTGCAGCAAAATATCGATCACGTTTATAGACCACCTGGACCTAAGTTATCTTTTAGTCACGAATCAACCAGCTATAAGCAGACGTACCTACAAGGTGTTCCAACTTCCAAACTGCCTCGAGGAGTCGTGCTAGATCTAGGAATTGCTCGAGGAGTTGAAAAGATTATTAATAAATAAGACCAAGCTGAGCTAAAGTGCTATCATAACGTGCCAAAGCGAAACGTAACTTATTTGATGAAGATTAAACTGAAGATAACAATTTATTAGATCTCCTAAATGCAGTCCGTCTGTCAATTAGGAGGACTCTAACGCAAGTCGATATTGACAACTCAACGAACGTCAAAGTAAAGACCATTATGATAGGAGCTATCTAGGGTCATTTTGGTATCTAGGGTCTTTATATAATATCATTGTGAATGCTTGTCTAAGTTCTCTCAATCCTGCAAATGTCTCTGCCTACAGATATTTAGATGTTTGTCTGGCCTGTAATTGGGAAGCAGTTTTTAGGCAGGTAACGTACCATCAGCTAATAAAATATCGTTGTGATCGTGATCGTAGCGGAAGCAATCCGACAGAGACGTGACACTTGCAATTGCCACAATATATAAATATATCGAGATGGTGACTTTTAACGTGTGTTATTTAGAGCACGATTTAAGTTTTGATATAAACTATTTGTGACGTGTACAGGGTGTTCCCAGACTTCCAACAAATTTCGATTTTGTGAATGAGCAGATAGGTGTTAAAGTGATTGTAAGATATACCAATGAGAACGAGCTATTTGACAGTGATGGAAGCAGTTGGGCGACTCAGTCTTTAACTTTAAGTAACTGTCACAACTCATTGTCTCACAATATGCCAGGCACCTTTGTTTAAATAAGGAGGGATAGGACATAGGTGACCTTTGTGCGGGCTTCAGTTGATAGAAAACAATTTTTGTCACCGATAGAATAAAACTATTTCTAAAACTAGAGGTTAAGTAAAATGTGGTGATTTGATTAAGTCATACTATTTAGGTGTGCATGAGAACTGTACTACACGTGGCAGAGAAGAATGATGCTGCAAAAACCATCGCCTCGATACTATCCGGGGGGTCATCTACCCGCAGAGAAGGGAAATCAAAGTACAACAAACTTTACACCTTCAACTTCAACAACAGCCTCAACGTCATGACCTCCGTATCTGGACACATGATGAACTACGAGTTTGTAGGGGAGTACAGAAGTGGCAGTCCTGTGATCCAGTATCTCTCTTTACCTGTCCTATTGAGAAGATTGTGCCGGACAACATGCTGAACATAAAGCTGACCTTAGAACAACAGAGTAAAAAAGCTCACAAGTTGGTCATTTGGACGGATTGTGACCGAGAGGGGGAGAACATTGGACAGGAGATTGTAGACGTGTGTATAAGATCTCATAGCAACCTTGATGTGTACCGAGCAAGGTTCTCTGAGATGACTCAAAGGTCCATTTTCCATGCAGTAAACAATCTAGTGAGACTTGATACAGCTTTATCAGAGGCAGTCGAGGCCAGACAAGAACTGGATTTCAGGATAGGCTGTGCGTTTACCAGGTTCCAAACACTGCATCTTAGGAAGAGGTTTGCAAGTCACATCAACGCAGTTGTCAGCTATGGAGCTTGTCAGTTTCCAACCTTGGGATTTGTTGTTGAACGTTACAAGGAAGCCCAAGCTTTTGTTCCTGAGGAATTTCATAAAATCAAGGTAAGGATTGATTATCCATTAGCCATAAGTCCATTTCTTTATTAAGGCATCGACAAACATAATTTATTGATTAGATTTGTGACAAAAGACAGTTAACCTTTAAAACATTAAACAATGATATTATAAAGTTATTAGCTTATTAGATAAATTAACGATTGATAAGTTGTAAAGTTGATATAATTGACTTAACACCACTCTGCTAGGTAACAGTAGAAGTTGAGAATGGTGACACAGAGTTCCAATGGACCAGAGGGAGACTGTTTAATCACCACGCTTGTCTGGTCCTATACCAGATATGTCTGGAGAACCCCACAGCAACTGTAACCCACGTGACCAGTCGACCTAAAAGCAAATGGAGACCAGTCGCTTTGGAGACAGTCCAGTTTGAGAAGATAGCCAGCAGAAAGCTGGGCATGAACGCTCAGCAAGCTATGAAAGTAGCTGAGTCGCTGTACAGCAAAGGATTGATAAGCTATCCTAGGACTGAGACAAACAAGTATGTAATATCCGTTCTAACGCGTTACATTATTCTTATAAATATTACCGTCATGGATCAAGATTCAAGCAACACCTCGCCTAAACTCTTAAACAGAAACGTTCAGAACTTGCACAAGGCTACGATGTGGCAAGATATTACCCTTATGCAATGATATAAAATTTAGATCTTAACCACACCCCAAATTTAAACTCTATAAAATTACCGATTGGACTGTTAACATTAAAATATATCAGCTCTTTAAGTCTTTAAGTACATAGCTAGATAGCTGTTAGAATTTGTCGCGACAGCTCTTAATTAAAACGTAAACCATCCCTTTAAACCCCAACGGATTGTCTGCACACTGTTACTGGTTAACAAACATCTTACTTAACAACATCTTACTTAACAACATCTCTTTACAGAATATTGTCAGGTGACTGTTTAAACTGGTAGATTTGCAAATCTGCAGTTCGATACTAAAAAAGGTATAAAAAGTAAAATTCAGATTTCCAAAGTCTATGGATTTGAGTGAGCTAGTCTCGAAACACACTTCTCACGGGGAGTGGGGAGAGTTCGCAGCTAGGGTCCTGGAGAACGGCCCTAATCCTCGACAGGGCAACAAGTCTGACGAAGCTCATCCTCCTATACATCCTACTAAATGTGTCACCAACTTATCAGGTCGGTCAAGTAGCCCATATTTTATTTGTTTCATTCTCTTCCATATCGTAACAAGAGTGAAAATGTTTCCTGCAGCTGTAGTGCCATGAGAAATGAATAAGAAATGAGGTACGATAATAAGAAATGAGGTACGATAATAAGAAATGAGGTATGATAATAAGAAATGAGGTATGATAATAAGAAATGAGGTACACGATAATAAGAAATGAGGTATAATAATCATTAATTTAAGTAAAGTTAAACACAGGTCCTGATAAGAAAGGTATACGACTACGTCACTCGGCACTTCCTAGCCTGCGTATCAAAGGACGCTACAGGCACAGAAACAACTGCTAAGATTGATATTGCTGGAGAAACTTTCACTGCAAAGGGGTAGGTCACTCAATTGCAAGAAGAATAAATGTTTGCCATCTACCGTACGTGGTACATATTAATTCTTCATACAATTACTCTCCGGTGGGCTCGGGTGTGACGATGAACACAACAATGCTACCAGAAAAATGCAGCCACCGAGCAATGAATAAAATATAGTTAAACTTTTAATATAAAAACCAGCGCGGTTTCGTACCATTAGATTATCAGGGAATATGAAGGGTGGCTAGAACTGTCGGGTGCTGACTGCTGAGTATTATTAGATATATAAATGAGTCTTCTGACTGTTGTTGATGTTTCCCCTTGTCATTTGTCATACCCTCCTAGTGATCAGTATACTATTATTTTATAAAACAATAAGAATATAATACTAATGAATGATCATATTAATATTTAATATATACTACAATATTCATCACATTAATTTGTGGTCCACCTGAAGTATGAACCAGTCCACCACGAAATGACAGCGGAGGATATAACTTATCATGCACCATGTTCAGGTTAGTTATCTTGGAGAAGAACTATCTGCTGGTTTACGTGTACGAGAGTTGGAATGCCAAGTTACTGCCCCACATGGAAGTGGGACAACAATTCCAACCCAAATCTATTGAGATGGTTTGTGATAGGACAGAAACTTCGGGGATATTTTCCCAATAGGACATTATTATGTATTATGGGGAGTACAATGATACCGTGACGTCATGATTAACTAACAGCAGCTGTATTGACATGCTCTAATGTTAATTGCCCAGTATTAATTAAACGACTATTAAAATACACCTGTAGATTATAACTTCCTATAATATAGAATAATAAGACTATTATTTAAGACTATTATAAAACTAATAAAATACAGGTGGAAGGACAGACTACAGCTCCTCCCTTGCTTACTGAAGCGGATCTTATAGGACTAATGGAGACTCATGGTATTGGAACTGACGCCACACACGCTGAACACATTGAAACTATCAAGAACAGAAGTTATGTGGGACTAACTCCGGATCTTCGCTTTATTCCTGGACAACTGGGCATGGGGCTGGTGGACGGGTAAGTGCTGGGTGTTGTCATCCGTACATCAGTAAGTTTGTTGGAGTTATGGGACCAGAATATATGCCGAGTACTCTGTACTAATAAAATATTAAATAAACTTACACAATGTCATTCGTGTCCCTGATATTTGAGTTAATTTTAACTCTCCTAAACTTACACACTATTTGTTTTACACAGGTATGATTCCATGAGTTTTAACATAGGATTGAGTAAGCCGGACATGAGGGCCGCTACAGAGAATGAACTGAGATTAATCGCAATGGGACAGAAGAATAGAGCACAGGTCAGTGGCTCAATAAACCTTGTCGTGGTTATGATGAAGTATTTCTACTTGGCTGGGTCTCTATTCAAGTATCCCCTATGTTCAAGTAGTTTATCTAAAGTAGGTGTGTAAGGTATCACAATATTTAGACAATATCTGGTGCTGCCGAGTACAAGACGTGTATTTTATTATCATCTAATAAGTTATAAAGTTTTAATACTTTCAACACTACTATATAACAAATAATTTGAGGTTCTAATGATGTAGTTTTACGAAGATTTCAAGCCTTACGTTGTGTGTTCCCCTTCGTGTCCAAAAGCATTAATACATAATACAGAGAGAGCTGATAATATAATATTAATTACCATCTCCCTCCTCCAGGTGGTGCAGGAGATGTTGGCTGTGTATAAAGAAGTGTTCCAACGAGCGGTTGTTGAGGTTCAACAGCTTGACACAAAGTTGTCGGAATGTTTTGGTATTCAACCTCCCGGTGGCGGAGGTGGTGGAGGTGGCGGAAGCGGTGGTGGCGGTGGTGGAGGTAGTGGAGGTGGTGGCGGCGGCGGTGGAAATAATGGTGGTGGAAACGATGACGACGACCATCAGGTACACTCTCGTTCGTAGATCACCACTTCAGTATGGTGCATTTATCAAATCAATGAAAAGATTAATGATTAATTAATTTGCTCATCATGTGAATCTAAATTAAAGTTGTCAAATTGAAGTTGTCAAATGGCAACGAATTTTAATTTTTCCAAATTAAAACCACATGTATTTTGAACACAGCAAAGCTGCAACTGTTGATTTAGGGTCAATCAGATTTAGGGTCAATGGATAATGATTCCTTAAATATGCTCCACTAACAAGCGAAATCGCGTTCGCTCCTATTATTTAATCGTACAAGAATATCTTAATCTACTTTTTCCACTCAGGACAGATTCTATCAAATACACAAAACAGGTATTTGGTAATAGCTTGACACATACAAATATTGAGAGTATGAACATAAATTGCATCTAATGGTTTCTATATAATGGTTTATAGTGTCTCGAGTCAGTCCAAAACTTAATAGACTATTATATTCGTTATTTGGTTAGGATTGTATTAGCTCGCAAGCCTGTAGCAACTGAATGAACTGTGACATTGACTACAAGGAAAATTTCTCAGTGTCTGTTACTAAGGAGTTCTGCAGGCAACTCTATTTTGGAATATCACTATAGTATGCTTATTTGGGCATTTGGTGGCACCTGCATCCAGCAAGTCGGTTGAGAGATCAAGTCGTTACAAATAAGTATAATTAATGCACTTAATTAATTAAGCTCAGTTTCTTTAACCCCATTTAACCATGTTAAAAACGAAATATAAATAAGAAGCTTTAAGGTAAAGCACCAGACAGGTTACTAACATCGTTAATAACGCAACCCTCGTAAGCACCACAGTTAGGCAATAGCCAGCCATGGCACAGCTGGTTCAGACAACCATAATGGTTAACTGATGGTTATATTAACATAATCACACTATATAATCTCACTCTGAACATCAGTACGTGATTTTACATTTTCCTAAACTCCAACCAGGACCCCAGAGTTGTGTGATAATGGATATATTTAAAGTGCGATGTGACCAATATTATCATTAAATGATAGTTGTATAACAGTGAAATGATTGTAATTGCGTGCGTGATATTTACAACTCACGTCAGAACCTAATGTTCACTATTCACTATATTATTCACGGTTGCACCAGATTGTTCATAACGAGTCGCTAAACCATTAGACGACTTAACACTAACAGCAGTGTATTATACTATTATATTATATTATATAATATAATATATCTCTCATATGTATATTTATTGCCATCCTAAACCGTCGCCGTCATCAATGATACAACAATATTTTGCCAAGATATGGGGTTAAATTTTTGCAATATTAGTTTGTGAAAAACGGTAAAATGTTGAAATGTAAAAACAATAATCTAACCAGCGTAACGTAATATAAAGATATAATTTATGACCAAACTTAGTCAGTGCCCACTACCCAATAATATCATCATAATAATACTTTCATGTTAACTTATACTATCATAATATTACTATCATAATAATACAATAATACTTTCTTAGCAGTATTATGACACATCAACAACTTTAAACTTCAGATTTTATTTAACTTCAGATATTATTTAACTAAAGTAATAAAATATCCAGCACTAACTCTAACTCTAACGCCCTGCCCTTGCCCAGGGCCCGTCCACGTACATGAAGTGTAGAAGTTGCGGAGTAGCTGAAGTGGTCCTGAAGACCACTAGAAATGGGTCACGTGTAGCTGGTTGTCTGGGTTACCCTCGCTGTACCGCTTCTCTCTTCTTTCCTCCTTCTGTTCTCAAGGTACATTATATATAATAAAGTTTAAAGAAATTGGACAGATATGATCAAAATCTGTTGCGTCGGGAACGTAGGACATGTCAACTTGGGAAACTTGTACGCTTTTATGGCCTCGTTAGTTTTTCCGTTTTGTTATCTCATTCAAAAAGTGTACCTGTCGTTTTATGATTCCTCTTTTTATATCTCGTGGTATTAGCCTGTTTGTATATTATATACCCTGGTAAAGTTTAGTATTGGTCGCCCAACAGCTCATTGTATGGAATGTAATTATCAACAATATCTCCAGGTTGCAGTAACAAGCGGTAAATGTAGTAGATGTGTTCCGGACCCTCCGTTTCTGCTCTCTTTCAAGTTTAAACCCGGCAGTGTCCCTCCTACCATATCCACTGATTACACAGGTTACTAGCTACTACTTCACTTTGTTCCTTGCTGCTTTTACTAATTTTCTTAGTATCTGATGAATCCATATTGATAATCCAATGTGGTAAATCTGGCCACTAACTTGCTGTTATTTTAGCGTGTTTGCTGTGTGACTCGGAACTAAATGAGTTGTTGGAAGTGAGAAGGAAGCTCTTGAGACCACCCACTTCAGCAACCTCCACCACTGGCAGTAGACCCACTCCCACCCCCACCACTGGCAGTAGACCCACTCCCACCTCCACCACTGGCAGTAGACCCACTCCTACCTCCACCACTGGCAGTAGACCCACTCCTACCTCGACTAGATCAACAACCTCAGTGTTCAAACCTCCTCCTAACTCACAGAACTTCTCCAGAGTTACGTCAGAGGACAATGACGTGTTCATGACGCGGTCTCTTGCCGGAGCAGTCTCCTCTCACGGCCTCCCTTCTAATAGCACTGGTGTGGCGGACTGTAATGGACAACCTCCTCCTAACTGTAAGCTTTTATTTTGGTTAGCTGATTTCAAACTTATCTTTTAACCATGCTTCAGTGTGTTAGAATATAGTGACCCGATTTGTACCATTTCATTATGCAAGTTCTACTCTATAATCTACTGACTATATTTTATCGAAATTAAATCTCATGTATATCCATTCCTTGTCCAGGTGTCTGTGAACGTCCAGCTAAACTACTCACAGTAAATAAAGACAGTGAGAACAAGGGTAAAAAGTTCTACGGTTGCGACGGTCGAGTGTGCGACTATTTCTGTTGGGAAGATAAAGTCGGGGTCCCTTCTGGTGGTGCGACAACTCGCGGAGCACCGGCTTCATACGGGGGTTCCACTACCTCTAATGGGGGTGACACTACCTCTAATGGGGGTTCCACTACTTCTACTGGTCTCAACTATCGGCCCACCACTCAGGGGCAGGACGGTGGTGGGTACGGGGCTAATTTAGAGACTCCAGACACCAACATCGTGTGCAACTGTGGGACCAGTGCCAAGAAACTGACCGTCAGAAAACAAAATGAAAACTTTGGGAAAGAGTTCTTCGGTTGTAGCACGCGAACATGCCAGTTCTTCATGTGGGCAGACGCAGATAACCAGAATGGTGGTTCGAGTGGTAATTCTGGGGGAACACAGAGTAATAATTCTTGGGATTCACAGGGTGGGGGAACGTCTTGGGGTCCGCAAGGTGGAAACTCTTTCAGCACTCAGAATAAAAATTCTTGGAGCAATTCAAATAATACTTTCTCAAGCCAAAGAAAAACACAAAACACTTTGAAGGCCCCAACAAATGGCGGTGATCAATCAGGTGAAAAGTCGTGTGAATGTGGTAATCCAGCCGTAACGAGGACAGTAAAAAAGGAGGGTGACAACAAAGGAAGGGTGTTCTGGACCTGTTCCAAACCGTTTGATGAGAAATGCAACATGTTCGAATGGGCTGATGATGTAGCTGCAACGGGTGGAAGCAGTACCCAGACTTCCAGGAAACGACCACCACCCGGTGGCGGTGGTGGTGGAACAAGTAAACAGAGGTGCTGCTCAGTTTGCAGACAACCTGGCCATACTAAGAAGAACTGTCCTCAAAATAACGATTTCTAGAGAGTAGGATTATGTTATTATCATTGTATCTTGGTCGAAGGAAACTGTTTTTAATACATAATTCCATATATTTTGTAATTATATTTTTCGATATTTCATAATTTATTCTGTTCTATCCTGTTGAGTTATTAATTAATCAATTATACAACATTTAATTTATTGTCTCCTGTGAATAATAATATTATGTAATATGTACTAATACATTTTTATTTCCGTGCAATTCTAAACCTTCTCAGGTTTTCTCAATTCAATGCAATTATTGGTACAGTTAGATTTTTCAACATTGAATGTTTATTCTAATAAAGAATGCTTATTCTAATAAAGAATATCACCTAATATTTTACCCCTCTAGGATGTTAAACTGTTTAGGCAGGTTTGCTAAAAAGTACTTTGAAGCAATACTCGCTATCATAACCCTCATAGGCGTGTTCTACCTTATCAAAACATCAAAAGGAGCAGGAGCTCTGAGACGAGAGAAAGCAGCAGCAGATCTTGCAGAGGAGCACGCAACACTTCCACCCAGGAAATGGGTATATGATCCTAGCAGAGCGTTCCCAGCAGAGCACTATCAAATACCCAAACACCCTGACCCGGCGGCGTGTTCTCCCAAACGCAACATGTACTTCCTCCGGACCCACCAGACTGGTACATCCTCTGTTACTAACATTTTCTACAGGTACGGTAAAGAACACGATCTCAGCTTCGTGATGTACCCTCTGAAGCTTCACCTCGGCTACCCTGGTAGGATTAACATGTTGAAGTTGGAGAGGATGATGCCAGATACGGGATATAACATCCTGTCCCAGTACACCAGACATCACCAGATGGATGTACTGAGGATCATGAACGAGGGTACTATCTTCACTACTTTACTCCGACATCCAGTAGATCAGTTTCTCTCTGTCTTCAACAACTTTGGTGTTAAACTGGAGATGAGAAACCTGCTTCCCCATCATGACCCGTACGAAGAATTCTTAAGAAGACCAGATAAAATAACCATGTTGTCGTCAGAAGCAATTTATCACCTTTTACAAAACAGCATGAGCTTTGACCTGGGTCTGAACACACCACACTTTAAAAACACTACAGCAGTAGATCAGTTTATAGAGAAGATTGACAGGGAATTCCATCTAGTTCTGATTTTAGAGCTGCTAGATGAGAGTTTGGTGCTGTTCAAGCGACTTATGTGCTGGGATTTGAAACAAATGGTTTATGTGAAGCTGTCTATTAACAACGAATACGGTGCTTCTATCTCAGATGATATTAGACAGAAAATCCTGGATTGGAACTCGATTGATTTCAAGCTTTACGATCATTTTCACAAGAAAATGAAGAAAATAATCTCTGAACAGGACGAGGATTTTCACAAAGAAGTTGCAAAGTTGAAGCAACTCAATGTCGACTTCTCCAAAGAGTGCTACGAAAAGGTGTTTCCAGTTTACAACGGAAACAAAATTGGACACTCGTTACGGGAGTCTCATAAAGACAACATGACTTGTAAAACTCTAACAACTGACGACGTCACCCAAACACACGTGATTGGATTGAAGCAGTTTAAAGACAAACTTCCGCCCTCTGATATTCTCATGGTACGGAACCACATGCAAAATCTGAAGAAGCACAACCCTGCTATGTTGGACTGGAGTGATGTTTATAAAGTTCTGCACCCTGATGAATCTCCAAATAAAAGTGAGCTGTAGGTGCAGCAAAGGGACATATACACCAGAACCAATGGCCATAGCGGACCCTAAATGACAGACTGTATTATGTGTTTGAATAGTGTGATATGTTTTTGATATATTTGATTATCTGCAAATGTTTTGTTTTTGGTGGCTTGCCGGTTGCTTACCTTTCCCTGAAGATTTGCATTTGCCGCGAATTTCTCGTGTGACATTTAATCATGAAATCGAATTATGTGGATGACGGCGCGTTGATGACAGTGCTACCGCCTTATACAAATTTTGTAAGTTAATAGCGCAGAAAAATTTCTCGTGCGCGGCGCACACGCTGCATGATCTCATTTTATTTTTTGACGTCCGTCAATCATGCATGATGACGGAGTGATTTTACAGATTTAAAGTTCTTATATTTTACATCGATGATCGATGAAACTATGTAGTCACTATTCACGGTGTACCTGATCTTTATCTATCAACTATAATAAACGATTAGACTTCAATCAGTGCTGTTCATCTTTTACTTATTAGAAGTTGAAACTCAATCATTTGACTCAATTTATCTATTGACATAATTATTTCATTTATGATTTACTGATTTAATTTTAGTTCCGACTTTGAAATCCTTGATAATATGAAGATGTTTTGATCATAAAGTCAAATATTATTGTGGTAATATGCCTGCTTTAATGTTTATCAGTTTATTTTTAAAATTCCTGTATATTTCATATCATTTACTTATTTTATGTCTAAATTCATTAGTGATTGTTTCTTTTGAGTCAAACTAATTCTCCTCAAATGTGAACCGTGAACATCAATTCGATTATCTCCACTATTCATAAGTTGTTTCAATTCGACGTGGATTTGATACGCCTCTTTTTTACAAGTTAAAGTGAAAATAACTTCAAACATTCCCAGGGGGCAGGAATGTCTGCAGCACACATGTATAACCAGCTGGGTACCCTAGCAGGGCTAACTGGCCCTGAAATAATCAAACCTGCTCTCAAGATGAAAGCCAAGAAGAAAAAGAAGAAGAAAGTACCCAATGGCCGGGCTAAAGCGTCGCTTTCTGACGCCATGGAACCTGTAACCAAGGTAACCTGTCCCGTATTCTCAGACGACGCGACCGCCACTTACGGTGAACTGTCCGGCCTCGCCACATCCCTTCACGACGACCAAACCCAGGCACAGGATCAGGATACATGCAGTGCACCAGATTCCTCAGTACCACGTGACGCGCAGTTACTTGAGAGTCACGGAGCACGTGACAGTCACGTGACGAGCACGCTAACAAATGGCGCTACTCCAGAGAGCTCTCCCGCTAGAGCACGTGACTCACCAGCGTTATTAGCGTGTAATTACGCGGGCTCCAGTGCCTCTCTGGAGCACTGCAAGGAAGTGAAAGATTCAGTTGATTCTGAACCTGTTTTGTTTTGTGCTGACCTTGATCCGACTACTCAAAACTCCGATCCGAATACTTCTGCTTCTACCCTTAAGAGAAAGTTAAGTAAAACTCCCAACTCTACATCAGATGATCAGACTGTGAAGAAAAAGAAGAAGAAAACTGGAAATGCGGTCAGATTGAATAAGTTTATATCTGTTGTCGACCAAGTAGTGGATAATATGACCAAACGTTCTGATACTCTTAATGCAAAAGAAGAGGCGAAACAGTTATTTCAATGGCTGATACACCCTGTCAAACAGGATCAGTTTTTCAAGTGAGTACTTTGTAAGATCTGTAGATCTTTATCGGTTGTATTCGTTTGCTAGTAGCTCAAACTTTACCACAACACATCTTTTATCTACATCTTTTTAGTTTTCACCACATCTTTTTAGTTTTCACCTCCAACGTTCACATTCACTCGAATGTGTGTTAAGCTAATATATCTTTTGAAAGGTCGAAATTTGATCTAGACCGGTTTTAAATTCTCAAAGGCTATCACTTCTATAAACTTTGCATAAGCTGTTTTGATTAACGATGTTCATAAACATGTTAAGCATGTAAGGGATGTTTATGAAATCTTATTTAAGAGATTTAAAACTAATTTTCATGTTTTAAAGCTTTGAAATTGTTCTCCGATGAGCATACATAGAACTATCATGAGATTACACGAAAAAATCGATATTTCGAGCTTAGAATGTGGTGACGTAATTGGAAACAATTTAAATGACTGCTTACAAATTTCGCAAATACTTGTGAACCTAATCATCCGCAAATCGATGCCTGACATTGCTCGGTAGCGTGCTTGGTGACAAAGAATGTACTTGCAATTTGTCCAACTATGTAGATATAATATAGGCACACAGCTGCTCTATGCGGCTTAGCACACTTGGTAATGTGTTCTAAGTGTAACCCTCCTCCATTGTGTATTACTATGTGGTTACCTGAACAGTGGTTAATTATATGCTCACTGAATAAGGCACACAACATACCTCCTCACTCTTCATGGGTCATGTAGCATCTGATTTCGTAAATACACCCAGCGACTGAGGCTTGGTTCTAGAATTAGACAGGTCTAACGGCGCAATATTGTTTAATTGTGGCCATTATACGATTATACGTTTAGGCCGTACCAGAAAGCTGGAATAATCAGTTAATTTTGTACTTTAATCTTAGATTATGGGGATCATGATGTTGGGGAATGTTGTTAGAGGCCTCATATTCCACATATACTGGACTGGGAATTAATCACATGAAACAAAGAGATGTGTGTAAAATGTAAATTCGTCATAACAATACCTGTGGCGAGAGAGAAACAATGATCCTGCCTTTTTCAGGGAGTTGTGGGAGAAAAAGCCGTTGCTAATAAAACGTCACAATTCAAAATATAATGAAGAATGGTTCTCCAGCAAAGATTTCAGCGACATTCTTAAAAACGTGAGTTTCATAGTTTGCTACAATTATACTGCTGATGCATTAGCAGTATCCATTAGCAGACAAATAATGGTGAGTAAAGATATTTCTCTTAAAAGGAGGTTATCAAGGCCAGAGAGAGGGGGGGGGGGGGGGTAAAAATAATCTTTCCAGTTTTCACATATTTGATTAGAGCTGCTGGAGACGAACAAGAAGAAAAAAACCAGACCGAAATCTGACCTTGTGTTTTTGAGATATCGCGCGCCAAATATTTAGGTTTACCTGCAATTAAAACTTTAGCTTAAACTCAAAAAAGGTAAACCTCCATTTCGGGAAATAGGCTGGCCACAACCAGGAGCTGAAACTCCGCACATGTGTTCTTTGGGGTGTCACGCAAAAACGTTATGTTTTAGAATTTTGATTTTTTGCCTTTTTTCTTGAAATATGAGGTTAACTTTACTCCAAATTCGATTTTTCAATGTGGGAATGGCAGCAAAATGTTTGTCATCAAAAAATGAATTTATTAAAAGAATAATATTTTTAAGCATTTCCCCCCCCCCCTCCCGCCCCCCATTTTAATAACGGTCCGATTTCGTGTCTACAATGTCGTATTTTAGATGAAGAATATAAAAGATGGTCCTCCACCGTATTAGTAGTCCACCGTAACTCAGACTTACATAAAACCTCAATTTAAAATAGCACGTATCGAGGGATGGAAAGTCCGCTCCCTTCAGTTATGACTGTCTGAATACTTGTCCTCCACCTAGATGTTCTTATAGATAGGACACAGGTGACCTGACGTCCTCTCATACTTTAACTTGTGACCTATGTGTGACCTACTTGTGACCTATCTAGGTCACCTACCCAGACGTGGATTGCCCGGTACAGAACCGAACGTTATACTGACTTCAGGCTTTCAATTAATTAAATCTGAGATTTTAATTTTGCTTGTACCTTTAAATGAACGGAAGCTTGGGCTCGAGCTGATAGACTCCATTAAATGTGTGAATTTTAATATCCCATTGTTCATCGAAAATGTTTGATTTTGTACAATAAATAAAATATTTACAAATTTTAGTGGAATTATTGGGTGGATTGTCTTACCTTTTTCTTGCATTAATTGTGGTTAAATAGAATAAATACTCTAGCTAATACCAGCATTGGTTGATTTAGTAGACAGCCTTGTCCCTTGGTTGCTAAAAGTTACTAATACGGACACTAATATAGGTATATATGAGAACTGGCTTACTTAACGACCAATACCACCATCCATTCAGAATATTCCCGTGGAAATGCACGTGTAAAGAAAAGGTTCCCGTGCCTCAGATCCTAGGGGAGACCTGGTTCTGATAAAAGTTAGAACTAAATAGTCATGATCACAGAATTAGACCATTCGGAAGACGTCAACTTTTTGTCAAACAAAATGCATGACAGGACCTACGGCACTTTTGAATTGAAAGCTACAAAATATACTCAAATATACTCGTCACGTGATCAGTATTTGTCCTCAGAACCCCATCCAGTTTGGCACCCACCTGGACCTGACGTCCTACCGGGACGGTAAACGACAAACTCACAACAGACCAGGGCGGGCCTTCCCGGATATGGTCTGGAAACATTACAACGAGGGAGGGAAGCATCAGGATGCTGAACCCTCAGACTTACAGTGAACCTGTCTGGAGACTGCTGTCCACACTTCAGGACTTTTTCAGGTCTGTTTCTACTCACTATAATACTGCATTTCAGAGTTTATCTAAAGATTTAAGGAAACGAGGGTTTTATTCCTACCTTGATATGCTAATCAGGTATAATTAGCCCTGCACAACCCACATGGACTTCCCACTGCTGATTATATACCTTATTAGCGTAGTATAATTATATGTAAATTACACACCCCACTACCTCCAGGTCCACAATGGGGGCTAATGTATACCTGACTCCGCCCGGGACACAGGGGTTCGCTCCCCATTATGACGACATTGAGGCGTTCATGATCCAGCTTGAAGGAAAGAAACACTGGCGACTATACGCCCCCAGGTATATTATAATATGTGTGTCTATGTAGATATTATCCGATGTGTGTCACTGTGTCAGTGTGTACGTGTCTGTGTGTATCTGTGTAGATATTATCACATCATGTTTCTACACTGTCTAACAGCTTCTGAGAACCTTTTATATATATAAATATATATATATTCACCAGATATCTAGTATTGTTCTAGCTAAAAGCTTTACAATCCCTTTATAAAGACCTAATGAGATATGTATTTAGTTGGGTAAACATTAGTTCGGGATTCTGATACCAGATATGATTGAATATCTGACTTACCCTAAACAAATGTTCGCAGAACAGACGAAGAAACGTTACCGATACACAGTTCTGAGAACTTCAATCAGAACGAGTTGGGTAAGCTGATACTGGATACAGTGCTGGAAGCAGGGGACATGTTGTACTTCCCAAGAGGAACTGTTCACCAAGGGAACTGTCTTCCTGACACCCACTCCTTACACATCACTGTCAGGTAATCCTACCCACTCCTTACACATCACTGTCAGGTAATCCTACCCACTCCTTACACATCACTGTCAGGTAATCCTACCCACTCCTTACACATCACTGTCAGGTAATCCTACCCACTCCTTACACATCACTGTCAGGTAATCCTACCCACTCCTTACACATCACTGTCAGGTAATCCTACCCACTCCTTACACATCACTGTCAGGTAATCCTACCCACTCCTTACACATCACTGTCAGGTAATCCTACCCACTCCTTACACATCACTGTCAGGTAATCCTACCCACTCCTTACACATCACTGTCAGGTAATCCTACCCACTCCTTACACATCACTGTCAGGTAATCCTACCCACTCCTTACACATCACTGTCAGGTAATCCTACAATATTGCCAGATAACTTGAGGCGTAGATCTGGAAAATCAGACATTTTAACTCCATTCGGTGCTAAAATCCATCAAAACGAGACGACGGTTAGAAACATATATAGCCCTATCCGCAGTACATACCACAGTACATACCACAGTATATACACTGTGGTATACCAGCCCTATATCCACAGTACATACCAGACGAACACGTGGGGAGACCTGATAGAGAAACTGCTCCCTAAAGCATTAACTCTAGCTAGAGCGGAGGATGTGGAGTACAGAGAGGGGCTACCCAGAGATTATATGGACTATACTGGCGTTTCCAAGTCTGATTTAGACTCCCCTGCTCGTGCTAATTTCTTCACCAAGGTTTAATTTATGCTCTTTTTGTTCTTCCTCATTTCAAGATATTTTACAATCTACATTGGCACATTGCACCTTTCTCCAACTATCGAATTGGAGTTATCTAATACATATAACCAAGCCTGTTATTACCCGAAGTTCTAATTACGAAAAACTTTAACAGTTAACACCCTCTCCAGGTAGAGAAGCTGATGGCACAGTTAGTAAGGTTCGCTCCTGTCGACAGCGCGGCTGACGAGCTGGCTGCGCGGCTTCTCCACGACGCGCTACCCCCCAACATTAACCGTTTCAGTGTGCTCAGCCAGCCGTCCTCAAGTGAGGAACAATCCTCAGCAGCTAGACAAATATCAGAGTGTCACGAGGGAGTGACCGACCTGACACCCTCTGTCACCGCTCACTCTAAAGTCAGGATGATAACACCTTACGTTGCGAGACTGTTGGCTCACGAGGACTGTGTTAGTTTGCAACATTCCGCTTCTAATTCTAGACTCTTTCACGAGATCGACCCTCAAGAAATCGATTATCCTTCCGATGTAAGTCTTTATATAACTCTTAATTTCATTAACTTTTTAACTTCGAAATTAAGTTTATAACTTTATAATAATATATGCTAACAATAACTGATATCATTTATATCTCCAAATCCTGTCATTCAAATAAAGTTCGTACTTTGATACCGCCTGTTTCTATTAGCCATTGTGGGTAGCAATGTAGCATGTACTAAAAGCCATAAGAATTAAAGTTCAAATTCGGCGAAGAAAAATGTATTTTACGTGTACACATAGTAAAGAGGCTAGTTTATAATTCTGTAGTTATGTTCCTTGAGAAACAGTATAGGTAAGCTTTATTAATATCACTGGCCCAACTCTTGCCCTTTCTACAGATTTACCTCAAGTTATATGTAATTTGTTATAATATAGTAGTGTTGAAAGTATTGAAACTTCTGCATACAACGCCCTCATTGTTATGATTCTTATCTCTCTAATGATAAATACTATTGCATACGACAAAGGACAAGAACTAACAATTGATTAATGCCGAATTACTTCATAACAATAACACTGGTGACCTGTTCTGCAGAAATGTGTTGTCCATGATAGTCCCAGGCACCACCAAAAAAGTGGTAAGACTAAAACTGATGGGGAAAACTTTCTAGAGCAATGTTTCTCCAGGCCCCCACGTTAAAAATAATAACTCGGTTTTGGAAGGTCTGTGAGGTCTCAATAGGAGATGGAAAATTACAACTATTGCCACATTATGGCAAACGTACGAGGTTTTCAGATCACTTTCATCACTTTTTGGTGGTGCCTGGTAGTAGTCCAGACTATGGACACGGCATTTCTGTAGCTAAACCTTTGTTATGAATTTATTCACAGATGGTCCCATAAATTTATATTCTTGCCCTAACTAGAAATTCGTTTTTAAACAATTGCAGACAAATCAAGTAGTCCATTAAGGCTCTGGTAATTCAGGAGCCTGAACCTAAACCAGTAAAATAGTCCATTAAATAAACCCGAAATATGGTTATATTACTGCGAATAAAGCAAAAAGATGGATATTTGTTCGTTACCATTTAACGCTACGACTCGGAATTAATGGTACACTTTATTATTTGATTGCAACGGAGAGGTCGGAGACCCAGTCGGCCAGCATTTCCATTTTCCAAAGTTTACAAAACTTTTTCTCTGAAACAAATTCGTTTCCAAGATGTCAGGAAACAAGCGTAAAAACGTTGAAATTTATAAATTACGTAATTATGGGGGAAAATAGTCACGACAACTATGATATTTTACCCACTTCAGTACGGTCCGGCTCTAGAGATGATAACGAACACATACCCCACCTTCTTAGAGGTAAAAGCACTACCACTTCCCACCCCTACTGCTGTACAGCTAGTCCAGGAACTCCTAGATATGAATATATTGCAGCACAAGCCTGGATCCAGCAACAAATCTAACTCTCTTATCGCAGCTATCAAATCTAGAGTTAACAGACCCGCCCCAAAAAGTAAGTGAATTTCCAGTGATTCACTTCGATCTTATGACCGGTATTGCAAACGATGAAACGATCGTCCATAAGGGCGCTGTCCAGTTTAATGAGCCAGTTAAACTGCTGTTTTGCAGCGGTACGAATAAATAATCTTCGTAGAACCACTTTATAGTAATAGGCTTGCCTAGCTAACGCTGATATACCCTCAGTTAAATCCAACAAACACGGTGGAAGTCAAGGTGAACTTACGGTCAAGGTCCGAACTAATTCTTTTAGCAGGAAAACTAAAAGTCTGAAAGCTGCTCGACCCACGAGTGAAGTGTTTGAGAAATCCAACACGGGGGAGTCACCCTTCGTGTTTAGGAGAAATAGAACTCTTGAGAGATGACATGACACTGAATTTTAGAGAAACTGAATTTGATATTTGATTGATATTGTATGTAGTCCTTTTAATAACTTGTCCAAAACGAAAAAGCTCGAGCCACTCTTTAATGTTCTGTTTTAAACGTGCAAATATTAAATGAACCACCGAAATCGTGAATATATCTGATCAACTTAATTTAGATGCCCCATCAAAAATAGTATTTGGAATAGCTGATAACCAATATATTAGCTGATAACAGATATGCCGGAGCCCCCCTTCAGAACTGAAACATTTCAACGAAGAAGTTTGTCTTTTTAGCGAGCACTGGCAGCCCGTTTTCCCTCCTGTTTCTCCTCTCTTTGATCCGTTTATCCACGTTACAGGCTATCAGAGACAAAGCCACACTGCTCAAACACAGTATCACTATAATCATACTTGCCATGATATTAGCTGCCAGAAGATTCGCTGAAATAAGGACTGCGTTAAATCATGATACAGCAACTTTACACCGTTATGAACTGGAACTGGAACTTGTATATTGTATAATATAGCTTATTAATCTAAAATATAAACACCACTCACTTCTGTGAGTACAGCAGGTGCCCATGTAGCCCCCAGCACAGGAACATGACCCGTTAGTCAACTCCTTCCCTCCGTTATAACACCGTACCCTACAAGACTGAATCCGTACTTTTAATTTAGCGGTTTTGTAAAATGTAAACAATACCAAAGTAGATGAGCTTTATTGAATTCCATGATTCAACAAAACTGAGTGAAGTAGAGAGTTCGCAGTAGTCCCATTACCTTAGTATTGCTGTACAACTACTACAAAACTGAGTAAAGTTCTAAACCTACCTCTTCCTCCTCCAGTCTACCCTCGCAGGGCTCACCTCCACATCTAGGCGTACGTGTTATCTGCCTGTGTCTCTCTCTAAAAGTAATAGTTCCGTTAAGCGGAAGGGATCATTCAAGACTTAATTCAGTTCAGGGAGCTCACCAACATCAGAAATTGTGCACAAAATGCACATTCTTTTCTGCTTTCTAGCCCAATTTCAAATTAATAAACGCGTACTGTTGAATAATACAAACTAACTAACCTCGTTTGCGCGCCCTCCCCACAAGCACGATCACCACACTCTGACCAGTGGGACCAATGTCCGAGTGTGCAGTTAACCGGCCCCACACACCCTGCTTCGGACGAGGAGCATATGGGCAAGTCTAACAGCCACACTGCTAGTCCGACCTGCACCGAGAATATGTTTCATCTGTGGTGACTGGTAAATAATACGTACAATCAATAATCATGTAGTGCAACAGCTAAGTCCATAATATGATCATACGAGCAATAAATCGGTATTAGTTTGGCTCAAAAAGTAAAAGCTACCGAATGTCATACCTTAAAATGTATTCAATTATAATCATACCTGAACTAATTGGAAGACAACCATGACCATCTGTACGTCCACTACTGGCTCAATACCCAAGAGTAGAACATGCAGGACCAGTAACATGCTCACACGACACCCACAACAATAGCTGTTAAGGGTAATCGGCCACATCCCGTTCAGTGTTACAAAGGGTGGTTAACACAATATATCCTTGCCTTGCAGTTATCGTAAAGAGAGCTACCCCAGCGATTCGGATGTCGGATCGAGGAAGCGCACTGCAGATAACGAAAATTCACATTTTCCAAATTCTGTCCCATTTTCAAATATGAACTTTTCTGACCACAAATTTGACAGATTGGATGAAATTTTTGCCCAGAAACCAATTAGTCAGTTAATTGATGATGGTATGAATAATAAAAATGGTACGAATAATAAAAATAATAAAAAACCAAATTGAGGTATAGTACTGGGAGTCAAAATCCCGAATAAAATTGCAAAATCATATTCTCCCAATCTCTGTCCCATTTTCAGTTTTTGAAGATGAAATTTCCAGGACCGAAATTTTACAGTTTTGACTGATTTTTTCACCCGCAACCAATTAGTAAGTCAACTATAGATGGCATATGACACGATTGAGGTGCTGGAAGTTTGATTTCGGTCGGAGGAGGCCCACAGCAGAAAGCTTAACAAAACGAAAAGTTGTATTTTCAAAAGTCTGTCCCATTTTCAAATATAATGAACTTTTCTGAACACAAATTTGTCAGATTGCATTGGATGAAATTTTTGCCCAGAAACCAATTAGTCAGTTAATTGATGATGGTATAAAACCAAATTGAGGTACTGGGACTTGGGAGTCAAAATCCCGAATAAAATTGCAAAATCATATTCTCCCAATCTCTGTCCCATTTTGAAATATGAACTTTTCTGAACACAAATTTGATAGATTGTATGGATATGATAATGATACTGAAGGACAAATCGATCGTTTAAAAATACTGGTACTGCAGTAGACCCCTCCGTAACCCTCTCTGGTCTCCCTTCGATGATTTCTGAATATACGGCTCAGAAAGGGACGTAGCATATTCCAGTTATGTTTTTAAAAGTCTTCAGATGAGAGCCTTTGAGACAGGAGTTAGGACGATAATATGTAATACTGTGCCTGCTTTCTGTGTACTGAATTATTTGTAGGTCCTGGCTCTCTCCAGGTATATACAGTATTTTGATTAAATTACAATCTCATAACTGTGTTATGACTTTTATTTAATGGCATCAGTCAATAACATAATAAGAATAAGATAATCCGTCCCTGTTTAGACTGAATAAAAACCATTCTGAGAAAATGTGACTGACATGACTAAATAAATCCAAAAATCCGCGCGCAGCATCACATGCGTATACATCATTACGATGAATTCTGTCGCGTTTTCCATTGTAGGTGCTCCAAAATCTTGAATATTCGAGACAATTCTGCCTCATGGCTGATTTTCTGACCACGGAGTAAGATTAGCCAGATTTTATGCAAGTGCTACGTAATTCGAGATATAGAAGGACCGGATCAATAAAACCAAGTATTTTGAAATCAAATTTAAATCTTTTGGATACGAAAAATGTATCGAATTTAAATAATTTAAACTTTAAAGCTTAGTCTTATAATATAAATCAAATCTCAAATTAAAAGCTCAATTAGGGACTAAATTCCTGAACCGCAGTTATGATGAAAATAGGTCAACAACTAAAAATGAATTTCAATCAAAAAGTTACGTTAGTTATGAAAAATGCAGTTTCAGGCTAAACAATGAAATATAACGGTAAACTAAGTCAGATTCACTAATTGGTTTATTCTTCTAGTCAACTAAAGAGTCACCGGTCATTGCCTCAGGTTGGGATACCCCCATTAGTCTCAATATGGTGGGTGCTACATCACACAGTGCTGGATCACTCGTGACCTCCGATCTAAATGTTTTACTACCTCCGTCCATGTAGAAGGGAACTGAAATTCACCATTTGTTATCATAGACAAAAATAAATTTCAATATATGTAACGACATTTGTTATCAGAGATAATCAGTACTTGACACAGAACTGCATCACGTGCAAAAAGAAAAAAGAAGTGGATGCTTGGAAGACACGTACCAAACCGGAATATGTAACCGGAAGGGTCCGAGTTCCGACGAATCTTTTGAATGTTTCACAAATACGAGAGATAAGAAAGAGCTAGTATCTAACCTCTGTTGCAAGTGTGGGCTGTGTGGGGTCCCCCTGTTTCAGAGTACATCTGCTCAGCATTACCATGGTCAGATGTTACTAGTAGTGTGTAACCTTGTACTCTACACGCGCTACGGATCTCTCCTATACATCTGCACAGTTGGTATACCGTTAAATCGATTTAACACCGCAATTCCAGTCGCAAGCCTGGGACCACTACTAGCATTGTCACAACATCCACAAAGCTGCCATATAGCCTGACTGACAATTTTCTCGACTGACTGACAATGCTTCTTCTTTTCCCCATTTAGAAGTTTAGAATACAAAGATTAGTACATTTTAGCTTATGATTAATATTATATTTTTACCTATAGTTTACCTAGATTACACTTAGTGTAACTGTAATGTGTATTGTAACACATTGAGGAGTATGTTACATGATTCTGTGAAGTAGATGGGTGAACCTTTTCTATGTTCACAATACAGGATAGCATTCTGTACACCACTAATCAATAGTCAATAAAACAAGGAGATCGTGGTTTCACGGCCGGTAGTATATAACGTAATATTCAGGCGCCTGGGTTCCTCTACTTTTACTCGCCATTAGTAAGCTGTTACCTCAAATTATTTGTTAAATAGAATAGTGTTGAAAGTATTAAAAGTAAGATAATAAACCTGTCAGTTTCCTCGCAAGCAGTGACAGTAGCCTCGTATTTACCAGTGTGCCCAACCATGTCTGGTGGTGCAAAGTTACACATCACCAGCGGGTAACTACCCGTCCTTATAGCTGCTACCATCTGAAATACACTATTGTAATATTACTAATACTATAACATATTACTCTTATCACATCGATCAGAACAAAACAGAACAGAACAGAACAGAACAGCTCTCTTTGTTGAAACCGAGAAAATCTTTAAGTTGGATAACAAGACGTGTTCTATTTAAATCAAATTATAATTAATTTATGAATAATTAATTATTTCTTTTAATGACCTCCCTGGCGACTCCAGCAGCGTTCATGGTAGGTTGCAGGTCATATGTGGCTACTTTGGGGGAGGGCACCAACTTCCTGTGTTCTGTCTCCCACTGTTTCTCTACTCCACCGTTAAAGAAGAAGGTTACGTGAGCATACTTCTCTGTCTCTGAAATTAGGTTACAATATTAGGTTGGAATACATTTAGTGGAATACATTTAGTGTCTGGTCTAGAAGTTTCTCAGCTATTGCTAGAAGTTTCTCAGCCATTGCTAGAAGTTTCTCAGCCATTGCTAGAAGTTTCTCAGCCATTGCTAGAAGTTTCTCAGCCATTGCTAGAAGTTTCTCAGCCATTGCTAGAAGTTTCTCAGCCATTGCTAGAAGTTTCTCAGCCATTGCTAGAAGTTTCTCAGCCATTGCTAGAAGTTTCTCAGCCATTGCTAGAAGTTTCTCACCATCGTGATACAGGTATTAATTTACCTCTCAGCGCTTCCCCTAGTCCTACCGTTAGCTGTATCATCAACTGGAATGTCAATGTGATGGAATCTACTTATTTTTACTTTATTTTGTTACATTCCTGTATAAAAAATGAATTTTCAAATCGTGTAAATTTTGTAATATATGGTAAATGGTTTACTCTACAGTATTGTATAACATTCTACTCTAACAAAGCATGGTCGTTGAAGATTGAGCGGGAAATAACATAATTACAGAAGACTGAGGAACACATACGATCCACTAACATCATTGACATTTATAACCACAGCATGTTCATTACATTTTACAGCGCATACATTTGAATATTATGCGAGCTTAACATACATATTATTGAGTGTATGGGGTGTGAGTGTGATGGTGAGTTCCTGGTTAGAATAAGATGTGCAGTGCTAAAAGTGGACAAACTGGTTTATTGGATCCAGAATCCCCATAAATTAAATCTTACAGCACAATGTTTGATATCAGGGTATCGTATTTCACAATATCTTACGACCTTGACAATGCTTGAGCACAGGACTTCCAAAAAACGGCGAGATACATGTTTGTAGTGTACTTGATTATAAAAATGTATTACTAAAGTAGTGTATAATGTACAGTGTGTACACTGTACGTGATATATCCAGTCTAATAATATTAGACTGGATATTAGTTATATTCAAGTTATTCAACTCCTCAGTCACCTATTAACTAGATAATGTAATACTTTAAATCTTATTTTCAGGCCAGTTTGTTTTGACCGATTAAAATAACTTTGCAGAGTTATAAACTCTCACCATTCCCATACACACTCAATAATCAATATTCTGCATAACATTACTATACAATTTGAGATTACACATTTCCTTACATTTTATACATTTCCCTACATTTTACACATCTCCCCTACCAAGTTGAGTGTGTACCACAACCTAGCACCCTGCCTAAACCCTAGTTAAGTGTGTACCACAACCTAGCACCCTGCCTAAACGTTCGGACTAACGGACCTATGTGGCAAGCCTGCTCCTTGAACAAACAAACAAACACATTTCCATGATACAAAGTTTAGGGAAAATACATAGACACTAGACACTAGAGAGGTGATACAAAGCGTACACGTATTGTATATTGGGTGCTCCCCATGCAATATCAAATAGTACTCATAATATGCTCATAACAGTATAAGTACCGTACAAAACAGTTGACAAAGCAATCTGATGATGGATAATTAAAATTAAAATTAGCCCAATTATTGTAATTGGACATGGATTGTTCAAATAAACGTCCCAATACTAACTATTTAGTAAGTAAACTTTAAGTACATTCATTAAAACAAACCTGCACAATGAAAGTGGTTGATTTGTTTTTTAGACAGCCACTCAGCGAGCGTATCCTCGTTTGAACGCGGCGGGAACAGAACGGGAAACGGGAAATCTTCCTTGTATTTCGTCAGAGTGGTAATGGATATATCCTTGGGAACGACAGCGGTTTCAAAGTGTCGCTGTACACCGAAGGCTTCTGTTATTTGCCTCATACGATCCGACCTGAAGTCTATAAAGAAGAGCGTGTCTCCGTCTCCGATAAGACCCTGATCGTTAACAATGATCGGTTTCAGGAACTCGTCAGTTACTCCCTGTTTGTACTGTTCCTCTACAAAGATTGTTAGGTTTGCTGGCGCCACTTTGTCTCCGATACCTTGTACCATTCCCTCGTACGCTAACTTTATTCTCTCGTGACGCTTGTCTCTGTCCATCGCGTAGTACCTGCAATGTTTTAGTTAAACTTCCTGACTAGTTTACAGTATGTTACAGTTCAGTTTATGGGACGTTTTTATTTTGTTACACTCTCTTTTCGTACTGTAATTCTTTAAATCAGAATATAGTTGAGATGTAAGGTGGCATGCAGGCGCCGTACTTTTTCACACATTATAACTTGTTAATATTTACTTAATAAGTTAATATGTTAATCGGTCGACAATCATCGTTTCACACGGTTAGGATTTTCATAATTTATAACACTTTTGAGGTTAATTTCTATAGTTTAGTGACTCGAGACTCGAGAGTCAGAAATCATACGATAAGGTAACTCTAGTCACGTACAGGATGCAGCCCTGCTAACAAACCATATCTCACCACACTGCCTGCATGCAAGGAAACACGGCGACAAATTAGACTCAGAGCTGCATAGCAAGCGGGAATTTTAAATCAAACTATATTTCAGAAGATCGTATCATCTAGTAGATTCAAAGATATCTATAGATTCAAAGATAGCATTAGAATTACAACACTCTCCTAACTTGCATATTAATAAATAACCACAATTTAACAAAATGTTCTAGAAGAACCTAAACACAGTAAATCAGCAGCTAAACAGAAAGAGATATAATGCTTGTAAACCTGCCTGTCACAGTCGCCAGACTCCCATACTCCAACCCATCAATAAACTCCAACATTTGGGTCATGTAGGTTACACCACTGGTGGGCTTTGTGTCCCGGCCATCAGAGAAGAAGTGGAGGAATGCAGGTGGGGCACCCAGCTCCTTCAGGGCTGAGAGTAGTCCCTTAACATGGTCTATGTGGGAGTGCACTCCACCGTCGGATACTAGACCTAGTCATAATACAGGTGGTAATAGTGGTGATACAGCGTCATGGTAACGTCATGGCAACGTCATGGCAACGTCACATTCTCTCTCGCGTGACGATGCAGCGTCATGGAGACGCAGCGAATAATGACGAATGACAGAGCACCGAATTGTTATGTAATGTGATCAACATCCTCTTTTTCTGGTTATGATGAGAGCCCTAAGAGCTTTGGAATTTTGCACTGAATTTTATGCGTATAAAATATAAATATGGACAAAGTAAAATATGGAGCTAAAATATGATCACAAATATGTTATACCGAGAAGATGGATCTTCTTTGCTGGACGTTTGGCAGCATCAATCAAGGCACGGTTATTGAGAACAGTATTCTTTTCGAAAGCTAAGTTTATGGCAACAATGTCTTGATAGACTACCCTGCCCGCCCCAATGTTCAGGTGACCAACTTCACTGTTCCCCATCAAGCCTGAAACAAACTAAAATTACTTGTTTTGCAGCATATCTGTGTGTGTGTGTGTGTGTGTCTAAAGTTTGCTTAAACAATTTTAATTCATAACGGCAGCTGAGGCTGCTGCAGACTGCAGTTCAGTTCGGAGGATTAATAAACAGCTAAGTTTTAATTATAATTACAAACCATCAGGAAGTCCAACTGCCAGGCCACTGGCATTGAGTGTTAGAGCCTTGTCTCCAATACTCATCTCATCCATCACCGGTGTGCGGGCTGCATGAATGGCATTCCCTGACGAATTATTTCTTAAGGAATAATGGGCAAAACTTTGTGTCCAGATAAATACAGAGCTGTTTAGTAGAGCGAAACATTTGAGTTGTAGAATGTAGATAGTTGATGGAATATAAATTATTAATCATATAGACTGCAGTTAGAGAAAAATGTTGAGTATTTAAACTGCTTACCATCAGTGTTTTCAGAGATTCCCCATCCATCAATTACAATAAGACATACCTCTTTACCTGAAGACATCCCTGAAATATCTATAAAAATGTTATCATTCACCGCGGTTACTGTTCAACTTTATGATTTTAAGAAGTTTTCAAATCAGTACTTTTCAGTGTTCACCATTATATTGAGATGTTCGTCAATATTTACAAAATACCAACAATGTAAACACGTACACGAATCATGAAATTCAAACTTTTCAATCAGCTATTAAACTATGTTATGTCGAATCAACTACTTAAATGGCGCGGAGGAGAGATGAAATGCCATCGTTTAGAAATATATTAAAAGCTTCGAAGAGCCAGAAACAACAAACAACACATACAGTATAACCTCTATAATATACTGTGCCTCTTCTTTTCCTCAAAGTATATTCAATCAGCCCTTGTTGTGCAAGAAAATGTGATTTATCAGAGGTCATATTGCATTTGGTGGGTGATGTAAGTAAGCATATTCTAGCATATTCCATCACAATAAGACACAAAACGTGAATACAAGGCCAAGGCACATAATTGGGATCATGAGAACCTCTTTATACCGGGTTTTTTCGTTTCCCCCGAGAGGCCCGGTATATAGAGGTTTTACTGTACCAGTATACATGATTTTAAACTTTAATTCACTTCGTAACATAAAACTAGATACTCAAAAGATCATGAAATAACTTTTCGCACTAGATAGCAATATCTGAATCTAACAACACTCTGTAAAATTGATGGTTGATGGAATATAAATCAGTAATCGTTCGGTAGATTGTAGAGTACAAGAAAAAATGTGGAGTATCAAAAGTATTTAAACCACTCACCTTTAATGTTGTCAGAGATTTCTTATCCGTCAATAACAATAAGACATCCCTGAAATATCTATTAAATTGTATCATTCACCGTTATTATTCAACTTTATGATTGTATTAGAAGTTTTCAAAGCCTTTCTGAGATGTTCATCAATATTCACGAAATACCAATCATGAAATTCAAAGTTTTCATTGAGACATAATGCAATGTTAATGTTATGTCGAATTAATCAGGGAAGAAATAAAATACATTGATTTAGAAATAGATTTGAAAAGCTTTTAAATAGATTAAAAGCTTCGAATAGCCAGCAAAAACATACAACACATACCAGTAAAAATTATGTTCAAAGTTGAATTCACCTCGTACCAAAACTTGGTACTCAAAATATCATAAAATCACTTTCCGTAAGCAATATCTGAATCTAACAACACTCTCTAGAAGTGAGAGATTGTACCCATTTATCTAACAATAATCATATATAAAATATGAAATCATAAATTATTTAAAACTGCCACTTTTTAAAGCGCATGCAAAATTATAGGAGAAGGTAGTCCTCATGACAGGACACAATGTGCCTACCTTGCTTTTGTCCAACTTGATGAGTTTTCTGATAGTTTTTTAATATATTTGTTTACATAATGTGGATTCATAAATTACAGTGTCCATTAACCTAGCAGTAATGAGTTTCCTTCCTCTTGAGAGTCCCTGAGATGCCGAGAACATTAAATCAGTAGGTTCACAATCCAGTACAAAACATATAAATTTTAAAAGTAAGAGTGATCTCTTTCGTTCTTCCACTGATCTAACTTTCGGAATTGTTCCAATGAAATGTAGAAAGCCACGTTCCAAGGTCCATTCCTGCACCACGCTGGAAAAGCTCCCTTCCAAAGAGCTCGTCTGCCTTCATTGCTGATGGTTAGCCTGCACATGTCCAAGAAACCCTCATACACCCTGATGTCCGTTCTGTATGTCCTTTGTTGCATGATCCTTGTCTTGGCTGTGTCAAAGGGCTGAGAAAAAGCGATTCCAACAGCTGATGCAACCAGTGCAGCTAAAAACTGAGTTTTTATTGAATCATCCCATCCTAGGCTGTTGGTGAGGCCATCTTTAACGAAGACATAACAAGGGATTTCAACACCATTCACCACTGCTGCTCTTTTGGCATTGGGCCACTTACCTTGGTACAAACTACTGATTCCACCTTTATTGTAAATTCTTTTGAATGTACTGAAAATTGTCCGCTTAGTTGTCTGAGCAGTGGACTGGGAAAGAACTTTCATCCTATCAATAGGGGTGGTAATGACAGATCCGATGACTCCAGCTGTCATCCCCAAGGAAACAAGAAAAGGCAGGTTTTTATCTGAGCCTCCTCTTTCATTCCACAGTGACTTGCCAGTGAAAAAGATCCCAAACCTTAGTGTTCCATAGGTTGCTTGCCTTAAGGCAGCAAATCTAAACCCATTGTAGAGAGATGCAAAACCTTCCTCAAAAATCACTGACCTCAGAGTATGAAAAGTTCCCCGATATTTGATAGCTGTTAGAGCGTCATCTGTTATTTGTCCTTGAACCTGGAGGCGAATCTTACATGTATCTATGGGGTAACTCACAAACTCAGCAAAAACTGCTGAGATTCCACCGTACACAAAGGCTTCGAGAGGCATCTTATCACAGAGGATTCAACTGGAATATCTGCTTGAGGCTCATTTTTACCTGAATTTAATAAAATTCATTATAATTATTAAAACTTAAATCGAAATTAAGATACAATTTAGCATGTTAAAAGTACATGCTACATACATAAATAGCATTTGCACTGCAGAAACTGTAAGCATAATGCACAAATGTTTGCAGTTTCAGAACAGAGCACCAGTTATAAATCGTAATTGAATAGTGGAGGTGACCACAGCAAGCTCCCAAAAACATGCAACAAAATCACTCGAAATATGTGCCGTTAGTAGGTATCAAAAAGATATCTATGTGAATATTATCATTTTTGCAATTATTACTCAAGTGGAAATTTTACCAACATTCCAGCCAAAGGATCAAAACAGAATTTGATCATTACATAGTATAACGAGGCATACCTAAACAAGTTCCTAACATGTGCAAGAACAAGAGAGTTTGACAACCAGGCACTTGACCATACATTCTTCCAACTAGAGCACTGTAAACCACTTTTCAAGCAACAAAACATCATGGCTTTCAAAAATTTATATACATATCAATCACACTTTTATGGAATTTTTTAAAATACTGAAATTAAGGTGCCCAGCATCACTGCAACAGCATTATCAGCCATCTTCTAGAAAGGAAACCACTTTCATTTCACAACTCCCATCTAATGACTTTATATCAAGATCCACCAAAATTTGGAGCACAATTGCACCTAAACCTAAGCTTTTTGACTACTCCTACAAGATTAGCCTTGCTAAAAGTCGCCTGGAAAAGAGAAGATTTGGAGACTATACACGAATATGTGGGGTTTAAATTTGGTATTAGTAATTTTAGGGTTCGACCGAAAATGTTGGTCGGTTAGTTTTCTTAATAGGGAGCAGTCACTGTCATTAGAGTTATCAGATTAGGAGCGACAATTAGAATCTAATTTGACATATTGTGGCCCAGAAATCAGTGAAACCTAGAATGGCGGTAAAATGCTAGCGCGCCTTGTTATGCGTGCTAACATACTTGCTGCTGAAAATAAAGAAGTGTATCCATGATAATGTCGTTTTATTTGGCGGCAGCGCCTGCCAATACCTGGATTATATTGTGATTAACTTAAAATTCAATGAATTTTAAGTTAATCATTCCATTCAGCACCATACCTGTTTTGAGCATTCATCAATGACTTTTGTAATTTATTCTTAACAGAATAACAAGAGGAATTAAAATTAAATGAGCCAATTTTACAAAACTCGTTCCACAGCCACGCTGATTTACAGATAAATTGTTTAGTTGGAGAAGGTGTGATTAACATATTGTCTTTCCTATGAGATATGGTGAACAAAGAGTACATTGAAATTGGTACTCTTGTCTTAATTATCTTTAAAAATTCCATTAGGCAACGTAGTCTATACAGGTTCTCTACAGCTAGTAATTAATGTTTTGCAAATAGAGGTTTGGTAGACTCCTTAACATAAAAATCGCAACCCCAACGTTGGGAGCCAAACGGTCTAACTCTAGCACATGTTTTGAATTTGTCTACATACCTTTAATGGTGTCCGAATAGAATTCTTATACATTTCTTTTGGGTAATAAATAGTGGTTTTAATTAACTGGATGTTAGGAATACCTCCCCAGACAGAAATAGCAAAATTGAAAATTTTAGAAACCTAAATAAAAAAGTTGGCCCTTTTTGACCCCTTGCCCAGATTTTATGGGGGCGTGGCCCCCCTACCCCCCCTCCAGTGGCGTAACGAAGGGCCCCGCTGACCCCACTGTGCAGGGGGGCGCCGTCTTAGGGGGGCGCCAAATCGTCGTTTGAATGTGGGACAATTTCGAAAACTTAACTAAAGTACTAGCAAAACTGCGCGTTTTGCTCTAGATACACACTTTTTTAGAGATTTTACCGGCGTATCCTCTAAAATCACCTAATTTGTTCAATTTTAGGGAGGGGCACCAAAAGGGGAGGGGGCGCCTTTTCGGCAGGGGGGCGCCAACAGGCAACGTTACGCCACTGCCCCCTCCCCCCCCCCCGCTTCCTGCACCCCTGGGCAGTAACATAAGCTTTATAAATTAGTAGTAAAACAAATTTTTAGTAAAACAAATTTTATTTTATACCCACAATCAATTCATATTTAGTTCAAATATTTAAAGTCAAAATAACCATTTCACATAAGTGGTTATATTATAATAAAATAATTTGTGATAAATTAATAAATTAATTTACACTCAAAAATGAACAAAATATACACAATTTTTACCTAGTGCAACACTGGTTCAGCGCGCGGCTGATCAAAAAAGTTTGATTTGATTTACTAACTACAGTGTACAGCGTACATGAAAAAATTACTTACTGAATCTTTTAATACTAGACACATTTTAATTCAGATGATGTTCAATGAGTTAGCCACAAAAATGTTCAAATTATGTAGGAGGGTAAAGGACACAATTGCTAGTAGTGCTTCTTTGTGCCCGTTGACTACAATGAACATTTTGCGGAGTTTCTCCAGACGACTTTTATCGGAGTGCGTGTTATTTACTTGGTTATGCACAAGCCAGGCCAACATTTTGTTTTTGTGTCAGCCGTGCTACCAGGTTGCAGAGTATTTTAAACACTAAACAATTATACACTATACAAATTTGCTAATACAATATCATGCAGAGTCCGATCTAGCTGCAAACGTCAGACACCACAGTTCAGCCGCCAAGTACCGTTTAAGTGAACACCGAAACACGAGGTTTAGGTGTCATTTTGTAAATCACTTTATGGATGGATAATTCAGTAATTGTTATGCCATGGGTCTGATTAACGGCCAAGAATAAACGTACGTGCGCGCTTAAGAAACCCGCGCAAATGTTGAGGTAGGGAGTAGCTGCGGCGCGCTTTTAACATATATTACGTATAGCGCCGTACGGAAACGGCAATATTTAAGTAATTAAGTATTTGTTTACATAAATTCCACGTTTTTATCAATAATCTAGCATGGTCCAAAACTGTTAAAGTTGTCATTATGCCACTCATTATCGAACCTGCTTTGGGCATCTAGAAGAGATCGGTTTAGCCTTGATTTGATTGAGTTACAGGATGTGTTCACAAAGTCAGGTTTATTCTGTGGATTGGAGTCCTTGAATTGATTCCAAAGCCAAGAAGATTTATAAATAAAGTTATGGCTTGGCTTTGGTGGTATTAGACGGTCATCCCTCAGTTCAGACATGTTAAGTAAAGAGTAGAGAGATATGGGTACCCTATATTTCACTATTTTAAAAAGTTCAATTAAATTATATAAATAGCAAATTGGAGTCTAGTTTCCGATTTTGTTACTTGTCCAATGTTTTTTAGATTTGTTTCCGTTTTTTATTGCGAGAGTTCCCACATTTTTTGGTAGAGAATGCTCAACATAATATATGACATACATGCTTGACTGCTTTATTGACCCTGCAGGCACCGGGGGCAAACATCCCAACAAAAAGAAACAAATATAATATAACAATTGCTATATCGATAAAGTGGCTTAGTGCAGTAGTCTTACTATCCCTGGCATGAGGGGTGCCGTTTTAGGGGCGCCAAATTGTCGTTTAAATATGGGAAATGGCCACATAAACGACCCATTTCAACAAAAAAAAAAAAAAGAAAAAAAAAAAAAAAAAAAAAAGGGGGGACCCCCAACCCATGTAGCTGAGACACCTCACAGCAAGTAGACCAAAGTGGCTCTTGCTTGTGAAAGGTGCGTCAACTACCCGCCGAAGCGGTGGGTTGGGAGTCCCCCCTGGGATCATTTCGTCCGTAAAATTATATACAACATAAAATAGTACAGTAAAATATCAAAATTTACATAAACAAATCTAGGAGACCTCAAAGCTCGTCTTCTGGGGGATGAGGTTGAAGGAGATGTCATGCAGTTCAAGATGCTGGGCCGTTGATCTTCCTCTGATTCCTCTTAGTGCAATGAGTGTACTTCTTAACAGATCAAATCTGAATCGTGTTCTGATATGATTTTTGACTTGGCTCTTGGCTTCTTTTTTATGGTCAGCTATCATCTCAGAGACACGATCTACAAATACAGTGCATAGGGGTCCCATACCTCCAGAGGTTGTGAAGACTAGAGGGACAAAGGATCCTTTCTCTGACTGAAGTACTCTCTCTTCATACAAATCTTTCTTTTCTTTCTCGTGATCTTTATAGATCTTATCTAGCGTCTTAAATGTGTTTGTGTCACAGTTAGGATGTGTGACCCTAATGTCAAAGAATGTTCTTTCAAAGGGTGCATACAATCCGACAGCTGCAACATCAAGACGGGCTTCATCTTGGGTGTTTGTCTTTCTTGAGAAGGAGCTTGGTTGGACTGTCAGGAGTGCTGGTTCTATCCTTACATCTTTACACTTTGCTTCTCGGAGGAAGAAAGCAGCAGTATCTCTAATAGCGTTGTGGCGCATGCTAACGTATCCGCCTAGTTTACAGTCAAGGGCGTGGTAGATACTGTTAACATTTCCACAAGCACATTTAGAGGGCACTCCTTGGATCTTCCAACCATACCTTAAGCGTATGCTGTCTTGGAACTCCTGCCTGTTCAGAACATAGTTTCGAGGTCTTTCAGTGGTAGTGTCGAAAGCCATGTTGAGGCTCCCTTCTCTCTTGCTTGGTCTAAGTGGTTCTTTAGTTGATGATCTGATTCTTTGTGGAGCACCTTGAACCTTTGAGAGAGAAACTCCTCTTTCTGTTTCCTCAGTTCTTCTTTCTTTTCTTTTATCTTGCCCATGTCCAGCTTGGTGATATCCGGGTCTTGTTGGTTGATCAAACTCACGTGGTCTTTAGTTACCGCTACTGAGTAAGCATATTCACGGGATGTTATTCTGACAGGATTGATGATGCCTAGCCCGCCACAACGAACAGGAATTTCGAGGATGTCTCTCTCGTGCTGGTTGACTGGACGACCGAGGAGGGCTGGAATGAGCACATGCATGATCTTGCTCTCCAGTGGGGCAAAGTACTCTGCAATGTCAGGTATTGTTCTCATGAAGAACCTCCATCGGTGGCATATTCCTTTGGTGAAGGC